AAAAATCAAGAGGACAAGTTCAAATCAAATTTCCGTTTGCCGCCATGGATTCCCGCGCTCATTTACACACTCACACAAGCGCGCAGCGTCGAACCTAGCTTCACTTTTTCCCCGTGCTTTTAGATACGAGCGCTCCGTCTTTATGTCTTTGGGCAGTACTTATGGGACACCCTATGTATTTGACAAAAAATTAATTATTCCCTGTTATAAATTCAGTTTGACAAATTTGTATTTTAAGAGAGGTTTAGGAGCTGGGTTTTTTATTCTGAGACCCCAATCCCTTAATCCTACCTACCATTATAGCAAACCACCATTATAACAAAAAGATTGTGTAACTTGGGAGATACCAGTGAAAGTTGCAATGAACTAAGTCAAAGAAAAAAGCACAAGCATTAAAAAGATGATAGAAGAATAGGATAAAAGGAAAATCCATCAAAAATGGCAAGGAAATTAAAATCCAATTTTTTCAAGCAATTTATGGACAAGTAGTACTGCAAAGTATAATTTTATATTTTTCTTTGAAGATTTAAATACGAACATTTTAAGTTACCCGAGTAATTGATAAATCTAAAGACAAAAATGATAACAAAAAATAAAAATAAGAAAATCTAATACAGTAAGTACAGAATATACAAGTGAATATATTTATAAAATTTACACTCATAATAATTAACGGAATTCCAATAACTTCCTAGCTTCTTTATTAACACAGCAAATTTCTCGGCTACAGAGCATCACGATGCCACACCCATTTTTTATTTGTGTGATCAAATCGATGGGCTAACCACTGCTGCTGGAGCAAACGATACCTTTCAGGACTTAAGTACAATGGTTTCCCACGTCTGAAACAAACAACAACAAATTTTCAAATTGTTTAGGCCAGGTGGGCAATTGAGAAAAGAAAGAGGAGAGTCAGTAAGAATGGTTGAAGTGGTTGGTTAATGGTTAAAGTCTTTGAACTCTTTTTTGTGTAAAGTTAGCATGAATTTGAAATAAACAGCATATAAACAAACCCAAAAAGTATTTTCCAGACTCCCATGGTGCCTTAAGACAACCTTGAAGTAACATTTTAAGGCTCCATAGCTCTAGGCGATTGGAACCTGTCAATTTTTTTCAAATTTTTCTTTCAAAAATAGATACACTCTTGGAATTGCAAGAGGTAACTTTTCTGCTACATATTTTTATCCATTCCGAAAAAATTCAGGATAGGACACCACTATGTAAATGACTCCATCAAAGCAAATGATAATTTTTCACGCCTGAATTAATAACATACGCTGAAAACTCATATCTATAAAAACTTACTTTGAATGTAGGATTTCACTCCGAATTCACATATTCTACACAAAAAAACACAGTCCAATAGTATGGCATGATTAATTCTATTATGCCAATGTAATTTTTGAGACAGACAAATGAAGGACACGACTAGAAGCAATCCCAGTTAGCAAGATTGAGCTCCGTCATTTGGATCCATTAGCCCGTACAGGAGCTCGCTCCAATACTCGCGTTATCCACAAAATGTAGCAGTAGATTGAAGATGGCATTGCTAAGCGCGCTCCTTACAGTCTCCGTCCACAGTCTCTAGCGGCAGATTGGAGACTGAGTTGATAAGCGCGCTTCTCACGGTGTTCATCCACCGTCTCTAGCGGTTGAACGAAAATGAGTCGGGAACGAGTCCAGGGGAGCGCATCTAGCCGCGTGTGTAGTGCGTTTGGAGTTGCGGAGAAATGCAGGAGTCTGGATGCGCGCGCCGCGCGTCCTTCAACAGGCAAGTTGTTGTTAGTTGTGATTCAGGGTTCAGTCAGTTGTGATTTGAGTCGTGAGCGCTTATGGAATTGATTGTAAAGTCCACTTGTTAAAGTAAGTATTTTCCCCATGTTTTTATTGCGTTTTCATTTTCTTTACCGGTGTTCAATTCTGCCGCTCGTGCAAGAAACAAAGCCGAAGTATTTATCTCTTAGTTAGTTATTTCGCTGAGGGACGAAAGTTAGTTTTCCTTTTCAGAGCTAACCTCCCTACCACTTCGTACCATGCTCTGTTTGTTTGAATTCAACATATTTCCTTGCGAAAGTGCAGGACAGCTTATCCTCAGTTGTCCTCCAGAATAAATTTGAAGCATAAAACCTTACCCCACCAGACGTTGAACTACTAATGCGGCAAGAACACAATTCAGCTTAATAAGCCAAAATTCTCGTGATTGTAGTCTATTCGAATCTTACTTGGCTAATGCAAGGTACCACTGGCTTATATCTTGTAGACTCGTGTAAGCACTCGAGCAGTGAGCTTGCTTATGAGTTGTCGACGTATATACTTAATCAATGAGTTTCAGACTGCATCTCACTTCTTCTCCGCTAGGTACTTTCATCTGTGCTCAGGGTTGGAATTGTCCTTGTCCATTGTAACCTATCTCTGATGAGATAAGCTGAACTCAATGAGTAATTGATTTTGGTTTCATCCGCTGGGTGGTCCTTGTGAGGTGTGGAGTATTTGTTCACAATAACATACCTCAAGGGGTTGCGGAGTCTCTCAGAAGTCAACGGAAATGAAATGGTGATTTTCACAGAACTTTTATGCGTTGGTTCTGAAGTATTCAATATTTAAATGATAACAATCGTTGATTCGTTTAACAGAGTAAATGTATAAGAACTAAACATAAGTTGGGTTTATTAGGTGTGAAGCTAATGTGTAATGTCATTTTCTTCATCTATTTTTCAGTGGCCTCACTCCAGACGAGCATCTGCACTCAGATTTATTTCCAAGTATTCTGGAATTTCCAAGCGGCTAATATTCTATGATCTGATTGCCCATCCTGTATCTGAGCAATCATTGGTAGAGAGTTAGCAGCAAAATCAAATCACCTCAAAATTCATCATTTAGTGCTTCAAACAACATTGATATCAAGGAAGATTTAGTGTAGGCAACTTAAATAATCATAAACAGTGACTTTCAAAGTTTGATTTGTCCAGATATTAATTTTTTCAAACGAAGAAGGAAAGTGTACTTAAGTTCAGTGTTGGAAATGCCTAAATATCTGAATCAGTAGGTAAAACCAAACTGTTCGGAATTTAAGTTTTAAAGAAGAACTTTATATTTGGTGAGTCTTTTTTTATATAATTTCTTAACGCATACTCTTTCAACACAGAAGCAGCAAGTTTGATGCCCTCTCAAGTCTGAGTTTCATATTTGTGCTGTATATTACCTGAAAATTTTGATTGTATGTAGTTCAAAGCCTTGAAAATTTTCTGTCATACTTTTTAGTGATCTAGCTGTATTTGTTGGCATCATTTAAGTGGATCTGAATGTCATGATTTATCATTATAACTTATTAAGCTTAAATTAAAGACATTGTGTACCTCCATCCCCCCAAAACTGAGGGTCTCGCAGTCAAAATCTCACGATACTTTACACCGGTGACTAATGAAGAGTTACTGGAGTAAGCGTTATTCGGACTAGATGTGGCGCATCAATCAATACTTTGGTATACATTTTCTACATCAAACTTCATTCATCTTTGCAGGGTTCTCTATGGCAAACATGCTCCCTTTGTGCTACCAGCTACATGTGTCTTTCAGTGTCATTGATTATCCTAGGATGACCAATGACATGTGTCATCCATAATCGTAGGATGACCAATGACATGCGCCGTTTAATGTCATTCATCATCCTAGAATTCCTAACGACATGTTTTAGGATTTTCAATGACATGCATCCTTCGATGTCAGGATTTTCAACAATATATGGAGTTGAATGTCTTTCAATGTCGTTGTGAGGAATGAAGGATATATCCTTGGAACGACATCTGATGATAAAGTGGCAAAAGTTATATTTTCCTTGAAAAAGTGGTGAAGATTCATTGTCAGCTTTGATGAGATTTGATAGAAAGTATTTGCAGCATCCTATTCTGGACGTATGTTGAGGCTCCATCAAATACGGCTAAAGTCATTAATACTGTTCTTTCGTCCGCTTTCCAATTTTATCGATAATAATTCTTACATCTACTTAATAGTGCCGATTCCGAGAGGAGACTCTTATCAACAGGGTTGTAGAAGAATAATAAGTTACCAAAACCAATGTTTTCAGATATGGCTAGTCTCCAGAATTTCTTTTTTTCATACCAATTATGCTTATTACTTGTGCAATGTGTTCCATAAATAAACTTTTTTAATTAATGAAAAAACTGAACTAGGTAATAAAATTTTCTCTTAAATCTCTAGTTTGCCCTAGAGAAAAGATCATCTTGTACATCATCAATGTACATCTTAAATTTAGAAACGAGTCTATTTGGAATGATATAATGGTAATAAAATATCTTTGTTGGTATACATCTGAGTTTTTTTCTTTTCTTCTTTTTTTCTTGACTTTAAATGTTCTCCTTTGTTACATTGTTGAGAATAAATCTAGTAGCCATAGGGGAAAGAATTATGAGAATTTCTGTTAACGTTCCTGCCATCACATATAATTAGTATTTCAATATAAAAAGTTTTATTAGCGACAAATCGAATTCATCCAAGAGGCAATTTGTCTCCTAGAAAAATAGATTTTCGAGGTAATATGGAAAATAACTTTGGTTAATAACTTTGACTTGGTGTTTTGTGTACCTATCGAAAACACTTTGATATAAGTACATTATAAGTATAGGTCTTTACTGTAAGTTTTCTTTTAAAAAAATTAAGTTTTCTTTTGGGGTTACTTTTAAAAAAATCGGATCCACAGGAAGTACATCTACATCTCTAGAGTGCCTGATTTCTGAAATTTTGAAGCTAAAAAACTGAGGAATAAAGTGAAAAATATACAAGAAAAAATTTCATGGATTGTGAAATTTTTTCAGAGGTATTTTTGACATTTTATTTTTGAGCTTTTTAGCCTCAAAATTTAATTATATTCTCTTGAGATATAGATCTATTTCCTGAAGATCCGATGTTTTGTAGAAGAAATAAAAACCCCGAATAAATTTCATTATCAGTCAGAACTGCCGCTAGGAACGCGCTGCGTGACGCCGCGCGTGGGCCGCTTGCGTCAGTGCTACAAAGCCGCTTCGGATGCCGCGAGTAGCGGCGCCTGGACTCCGATTCCGACGAGGGGTATCCACATTCAAACGGGTGAATATCTCTAGCTACACTGCCGCTCCTCTATGTGGATAAGCGATTCCGCTTTGGCACCGTCCACCGCTAGAATCGGCGATGGAGCTCGATCTTGCTAACTGGGATCCTGTGACAGGATAAAGAAAATTCTGTGCCTCACTACAGAATGACAATTTTTCAATGCTAGTAGGGCATGATTTTATAAACATTTTACAACCACTACTTATTGAATGAGTCCGATTTATTAAGAAGAAGGAAAAATCAGACATACTTACTTTAGCTCCCTATCCTCTTCACCGAAACTATCCAAGTAAACAGAGCCCCAAAGACATGCTCGTTTACCACGGACAACAATGATGTATGATGAGGGTACTACTAAGAACATTGCTGTACCAGCACCACAATCTATTGAATGTTGAATTGCTTCACAGATATTTGATTGCTTGCAGCATGATTCTTTGAGACAAACAAGGGTACCGCACAAGAGACATATACTAGTTTCACGAGGCACACTGTGGCATTGAAAGCACTGTTTCCTATGATAGTACTGTGAACAAAAACAAGGGGAAAAAATCAATCAAATTATATTACAGACTCGTAATTAAACTTAAACTCGGAACAAGCTGGAGTTTAAATACTGATGTAATGAAGGTACTCTGGTTAAAAAGCATTTATTTGAGTAACTTAATGCAAGTATAGTGACGAACATTTAATTCCTGTAAGAATAGCGATAGGAATACCTATTTAAACTTCATGAAAACTTGACGAATTAAAAAATAATTTAAAAAATAAAAAGAATAGGACTACTTCCCACAACAGTGGTAACTTGGCAACATTTCAAACAAGAAGTGAAAAAATACAAAACTGAAGAGAAATGAGAAATCTCTTCCCACATTAGCAGTGGTGCCCGTCCCCCTAAAACCTTTGAATCCATGCGAGTTCCCCCCTTAATCTTAAGTTATTCACCCCCCTCACTGGTGGATCTGAGGGGCATGGAATAACCCCAGTTGCCCGGGGGGGGGGGAAGGGTTTCGGGGGGGTCTCTCCCAGAAAACTATAAAATTGATGATATTGTCTGGGGTAATTTAAGGCAATTCTTACAGATTTTCATTTAAATTTTGCATATATTCAGTCTTTTCTTTTTTGGCCGCGTACTGGCACTTCACGCTGGCATGTGGCAGGGGGGGCCTCGCCCGCCTTTCATGGTGCGAGGATCGCACAAGACACTTTTACTGGATTATTTAATGAAATACTGCCAATTTCACAAAATCATAAAGTTCGATTGGAATTTTGATCGAACAATAATAGATCTGAAATTTTTAATCGAACCACTAAACTTTATCGTAAATCTCTTCACAATATGTGATGAATTCATATATTCAGAATCGACTTGTCGATATTATGAGGCATCTTCAAATAAATAATTGATTAATGATGCCTTCTAGTAAAGACGGCAATCCTTAAAAATCTTACCTTTTCTATGATTCATTAAGATCTATTGGATTCATTGACATCGTAATTTAGATAGATTATATATTATAATCTTTCCTTGAGCACGGTAAAAAGCCATCAAAAACCTACTTTGATGGGTAGAATCACTATTCGACGTTTATATAGTCTTAAAATAAAACGGGTTATGCCGGGACAATCGATCCCAAATTTCAAAGTTGGCGGTCGAAATCTCCCTGCTGGAAATAGTTCACCACCCGCCCGCCGAGAGCGCCACCTCCTTAGCGCGTATCCCCGTAAGTCGAAACGATGACAACAGAGAGAGCTACCTCCTTAGCTTCTCGTATCCCCGTGTTTTAAACAACAACAACATGAAAAAATTGGAGCAAGTTGTCTGTGATACGTAAACAAATTCGCTTTTGTGTAATCATAAATCATTAAATCAATCATGTTCGTGCAGTGTTATTAATATACTAGCCGTTCTGGACGCGCAAAGCGCGTCCAGAACGGCCNGTCCGTCACGGCCAGCCAAGGGGCTGCGCCCCCTGGACCCCCAATCACTCGCTACGCGAGTGCCAATCGGCTCGCTCAGTGAGCCATTTTTCTCAGTGATTGAACGTTTGATCACTAAGATGTATACATATTGGAGACTCTGGAGGCAAAAATGATTTCGTCATAGAACCTTGTTGCCGGAGCGTGCCATCGTTTGCACATGAATAGATGTGTGGAGATGAATTGATGATGGGGATCGATCATTTCTTCAAAAACGCATTTGACTGGGACGTCATTCCATCGGGTGGCGGAAAAAGACAATCCATGGATCTCCTTCCGCGATTTGACTCGCTGAAGTAGCAAAAGTTCATCTTTACCTCTTAAGAAGATTATCGGTGGCGTAGGGGTCTAAAAACTGCTCAACGATAGTATAGTTCGAGTTCCAAATCGCAATGAGCCCACTCGTGTTTTTTTCTTATATTTTCATCACATATAGATTTCTCTAATGTTTTTGTTTTATTCTCTCTGATTGCATATTAGTAATTATATCCTCATTTCATTTACTTCCCCTTTCCTTTTTCCTTTTCTGTAGCATCTTTGTCCATTTACAATTATTATTTTAAAATAGCTTTCCCCTAGTATACAATTGATGCTTCAAACGGAATCAATTGTTTGTTGTTTGTCCGGCTAAATCATGGGTTTTCCCAGGAAGGCAGCCTCTCGTCCCTCCCGGACTCTCTTGTTGCCAGATAAGTTGCTTTTTTAGCACTTTTTCCAATTCAAATCCATGTAAAATATTCACATTTATCGCACAATCTGGCAACCTGTCGAGTGAAATAGAAAAAGGTAGAATCGCTGAAAGTCTGAATCCTTCGAGGTTTATATTAATGATGATTAGTGCTCAGTACCTCGTAAAAAGGAACCACGAATGATGGAATCTGCAGGGATCCAAAGTTCAGTAACAACAAACATATTAGTTCCCAATAAAGATCTAAGCGTCAGTTCTACTGTTAGCTTCGATGATTCACAGTATTTAAGTACCTATTTTGCTTGGTATATACCTATGGAGTGTTAGCTTCGATGATTCACAGTATCTGAGTACCTATTTTGCTTGGTGTATACCTATGGAGTAATTTTGGAGATTGTATATGGTGCATTATATAATGCATTTAAAATCCTAGGTTTCACCTGACTCAAAGCGTTTGCTGCAAATACCCAGGAGCGTTCCGACTCATTTATCGGAGAATTGAGCGTTTGCTATTGGGCCGATAGCAATTATGAGATTAGTCCAAAGATCCTTTAGAAACTTAAATTAATGATCCAGGTGGTGCTTTTGTGCCAACCTTCAAAGAATTAAAGGCATTTTTCCAAAATCTACAGTCCGTCAAAGTGAGCTCTCTGTTTGATCAAAGTGCTCTCCTCGCTATACAGGGTGTTTCAGACCACCCGTACCAGGCCTTTTTCTCGGTTGTTTTAGGTCGTACGAAGTCGGGGACCGCGGAGTTGAAAAGGGAATCAACCCCAAGGAATCCGAATTTCGTGGTCCCGAAATCCCCCCACTCCCCCTTGGGGGCTAAAGGGGGGGTCACGATGCTAAAAGTCACGGTTCCCGACCGAATTGCGGATCGACCGCATCAGAATTGAAAAGCACGGAAAATTTCACGTGGAATTGACCCTTAAAAATCCAAAATCGGACCATCCAAGGCCCTAAAATGATCCCCTAAAGAGGGGACAGTACCCCCCTCCATAATTTCTCTTTGGTCTCAAAATTGACGTAAATTCTCCAGAAAAAGACGGTTTCCCAGGTAATCGACCTCGAGAAATCCAAATTTCATGGTCCCGAAGCTCCTCTGGCCCCCCTTGGGAAGTAAACGGGGGGGGGGGCCCAATTTTCAAAATCGGGCCTCCTTTCCGAATCGCAAATTGATTGCGTCCAAATTGAGGAGCAGAACACTTTTGCATCCTAAGTGACCCCCAAGAGTTTTAACTGATCCCCCTGAACGGCAGAAAGTAACCCCCTGAGGAGAGGGGCTTCGCCCCCCTCCAAGAGTTTCTCAAGATTCCTCTTTGGTCGCAAAATTGACGCCGATTCTCCATAAAAAGACGGTATTCCAGGTAATCGACCCTGAGGACTCTGAATTTCATGGTCCCTAAGCTCCGCTACCCGCCCTTTTGGGCAGAAACCATCTTTTTCTGGAGAATCGATGTCAATTTTGCGACCAAAGAGGAATCTTGAGCAATTTTTGGAGGGAGCGAAGCTCCCCTCCTCAGGCGTTACTTTCTGCCGTTCAAAGGGGTCGATTAAAACTCTTGGGGGTCACTTAAGATGTAAATGTGTTCTGCTCCTCAATTTGGATGCAATCAATTTGCGATTCGGACAGGAGCCCCGATTTTTAAAATTGGGCCCCCTGTTTACCCCTCAAGGGGGGCGAGAGGAGCTTCGAGACCATGAAATTTGGATTTCTCAGGGTCAATTACCTGGGAAACCATCTTTTTCTGGAGAATCTACGTCAATTTTGAGACCAAAGAGAAATTATGGAGGGGGGTACTGGCCCCCTCTTTAGGGGGTCATTTTTGGGCCTTGGATGGGCCGATTATGGATTTTTAAGGGTCGATTTCACGTGAAATTTTCCGTGCTTTTCAATTCTGATGCGATTAATCCGCAATTCGGTCGGGAACCGTGACTTTTAGCATCGTGACCCCCCTTAACCCCCCAAGGGAGGGTGGGGTGGGGGGTTTCGGGACCACAAAATTCAGATTCCTTGGGTTCGATTCCCTATTCAACCCCGCGGTCCCCGACTTCGTACGACCTAAAACAACCGAGAAAAAGGCCTGGTACGGGTGGTCTGAAACACCCTGTATGATGCGTAACCTTTCAATTTATTGTTCAGTCCAAAGATCTATTAGGAACTTAAATTAATGGCTCAGGTGGTCTTTTTATGCCAACTTTCAAAGAATGAAAGGCATTTTTCAAAGTGTACAGCCCTTCAAATTGAACTTTCCGTGTGATTTTGCTAAAAATGGACCATGGCCCCTAGCCCCCCAAATTTTAGTGTACCCCAAAATCGTTTGACGTGCATAAGTAGACCATAGATATGGTGTTCTCTGCAAATTTTGAATGAAATCGAACAGATAGATTCTGAGATATCGCTGTAGACAGATTTGGGGAACGCCAGACGGACAGACACATTTTTTCAAGTATGGTTATTTTGACTCATGGGACCTTAAATTGTCTAGAAATGATGAAATTTCAACTTTTATTTTTTTTCCCTTGGAGGATGACTATACTTCCTCTACCCTAGGGTAGCGAGAAAGTAAAAATTAGCTTTGAGAGTGGTTTGACGAATACTATACAGTGCACGCTAACACACTGAGTAATAGGTACAAATCTGTATTTGCCTAATCTAAGCGGTTCTTATTCTCGATTTTTGAAAAGCAAGTTTCAGATTGAAAATGAAAGAGAAGACTTAGGAGAAAGTCAAAATTCAAGGGGGGGGGGAGAGGTCAAAATGTAGGAGAAATCCATGGGGCATAGTTCCGGAAAAAGTCCAGGGGAAGTTAAAATCACCGCAGGGGGAGGTCAAAAACCAGAAGCCGTCTTTTATTTCGTCTACAGGATTCTTCGCGGACCGCGGACGATCGGATTTTCGTAGATACTTCAGAGAGCCAATCACAGCGAGGTAGGTGTTCACAGCGCTGACCGCTGGAGGGCGCCACTGCATTTTGTTTATAAGTACCTGATTCTGATAATAATGGGTGTGAAGCTTGCCATAGTGAAGCATCTAATAAAAAATTTCTTAGGAGTGCTCGATAAAAATTTTCGAAAACGAAATAAGATGAGAAATTTGGGCATAAATGCCAACACATTTCAAATGACAACCAAAAAATGAATAAAACCGTAATGGATCACTAGACAAGGTACGAATTTAAGCATTCCGGTACATGTTTCTTAGAGTACCTGTATAGGGAGAGTACCGACAGATCGGTTCATGGAGGGCTTAGGGCCCAAAAGTGCAGCCACCCTTCTAACCAACTTCTAACGCACAAAATTTCACTGCCAGTCTGCAGATTCCAATTTTAGCCAAGAATGTACAGAAATGAGCGTTCTTCCGCGAAATTGAGTAAATTTATGCAAAAACTGAGTCAAACACGTGCTTAATAAAGGACGGTTCGTAACAACAGTATCAGTAAATCGCTCTGGATAATTGAAATTCATAGGTTGGCTGCCCTTTTGGGCCCTAACTTTATTCGCGGAGGCATCGGTGAAGGCCTGATGGACTTTCGGAGTTTCAGATCTGTCGGTACTCTCCCTATACAGGTACTCTAATGTTTCTTAACCAAAATTTCACGTAGAACACGATTCGCGCAACGAAAATTACTGAAACCAACTCCTAACGAAGATATTAACCTTTTCATTTCACATTGGTTACGAGGAATTTGAACTGCCCGCTCACAAGAAACTCAAAGCTCTACGTGAGTCAAATCGCGCATGACAACAGTCTCAGCAAGTTTCTTAATCGAGCAATATTCATTTCCCACCATGCGTTGTTCGAACTATAGGCAATTTGCTATAGCTGAGCCAAAGCGTCAAGATTGAGGTTGCCAGATTTTTACATCGCGCAGAGACTGTCATGATAACGTTTAGCGCGCGATGTGAATCACGTAGAGCATTGAGTTTTCATGAGCGGGTGGTTTGAATTCACGCATCAAGAATCATTAAATATCGTTGTGAGGAGTTGATTTCGATAATTTTCATTGTGCGCATCGTGCTCTACGTGAAATTTTGGTTACGGATCATATATCAGAGTGCTGAAATTCGTACCTTGTCTAGTGGTCCAATATTGGATAGTTATAAAATCCTGATTTGTTTCAACAGATATGAAAGTTCGAAGATCATGGGTCAAAATACAAATAGAGACTAAATAGGATTGACAAATGACAAAATAGAAGGGCACGTGAAGAAGACAGAAGAAGATGATATTGTCGAGAGGTTAGGGTTTCGTCCGTGGTCTACGGTCTGCAAACTCCACACCTCGCAGACGGCCGCGGACCGCAAACGTCTGCAGGTGTCCGCATCCAGGCGAATTCTTGTGTCCGCTTCGCATCCTCGAAATTAAGCCCCGCCCACTCCAAGTCATCCGCAAAATAATGAAAGACGATTGCAGACGCCTGCGGACCGTGAAGTGTCCGCTGCAGACGAAATAAAAGACGGCTAGAGATCTATAGGGAGGGGGAGGGGGTGTCAAAATCCAGGCGTGTCCAAAGCTAGGGGGAAAAAAAATCGAACGAAACATCTAGGGGGGAGGGGAGTCAAAACTTAGGAGAAAGTCTATATCCTAAGAGGGAGGTCAAAATGTAGGAGAAATTGGGTTACTAACATTGTATGTTAGTTCGTGTTACTTACTTAAAAGTATGTACCTTAAGGTTGAGGCAAAGGGGAAAAAACTGGAAACAGTAGTGACTTTTCGTGAGATATATCGGTTGCAGTGTGAAAAATCGGTTTTCTCTGACATTTGTGAGCATATGCGGCCGATTTCCCTTTCCGTTGGGAACCGTAACCAATCGATGCACGTTAGTAAGTCACTAACGTACTTACTCAAAAGTATGTACCTTAAGCTTGAAGCAGAGGGGAAAAAACTGGAAACAGTAGTGACTTTTCGTGAGATACATCGGTTACGGTGTGAAAAATCGGCTTTCTCCGACATTTTTGAGCATTTCCGGCCAATAATTATCTTAGTACAGTCATTAACCGATCAATGAGTATCTTTGAATGTTGATAAATTGAATTCATACATTTTGAGGTTGAACTGGAAAAAAAACTTTTTAGGCTCTTAATTGTCAAATATCAGTTGAAAAAGCTAAATCACCCAAAACTATATATCCGAAGCTTAATGTATGAATAAAAATAAAAAATCGAAGAGACTGTTTTTTTGGATAATTCAGTTGGAACATTGCGTGGCAAAAAAATTGTAAATTTTGAAAAACCCTATATTAAGGCCATTTAATAATTGTCACTAAATTTCAATAGTATTTTTCGAATTTACATAAAAATTTGATTCTGAATTATTCTTTAAAAGTATGGATTGATACAGAGTTTTGCTGGGGAGAGTCAAAGAGAGGGAAGTCGAGAAAATTAGAATCGCTAAAACGGGCTTTTCTTGAATATCACTAAAATTCACCCCATCTTTGGGGGCTGATATCTCTCGAACAAGACATCAGATGGGAAAACCCTTCAAATTAGTTGCTAAAAATGATGTTAAGACCCTGTATACCAATTTTCAGCCAAATCAAAGGGGGTTGGGTACCGGGTTTCGTAGAGTTGACGTGGAATGACCCAGGTTCAAACTTTTTCTTACGTAAGGACTTGCTAAATTGGGCTAAAATCATGTGGATCACTTGACTACTTCCAAATGAACCCTGTTCACTGGAATAGCAGCAAAAAGAGGGCTATTTTACAATGCACTGAACAAGAGAAGGAGTGCCCTACCAGAGTGCCCCTTATATGGAGTCCTCTAGAGCTCTGATGGTGCCTAATTCATGGTAAAACAACTTTCACAACAGTAAATACTCCTACTAGGATTGCTCCGTTAGCGGGTAAATTTAAAATCCTTTTTTTAGTTTCTTCACTCAGTTATTATGATTTGGTGTTTTTATTTAAGGTCCTACGTAGCTTGGTTGATTCTCCACCGATTATAGGTTCTTTAAATTGTCATGTTCCTAGTAAACAATTAAGGGACAATGGAATCACATTCTCTTTTCCTCATAGCCATTGCTTTGTCAGGGAGAACTTTAAGGAGTTGAGACTGAGCCTCACAACAAATGAGTTTGGAAACATTGATTAGTTAGTCCTTTTGTATGTTTTCAAAAATGAAGTTATAGATACTGTTTTGTTATGCTATTAGTAGTCTTGAGAAGTCAACAATAGTAAGCTTTTGTTCATAGCTTATATTTTTTGTTTCATTTTTGAGACTCAAACTGTGCTATCACATTTCTTGTTCTTTTTTGGGTCTGTTGTTTTCATGACTGGGACTTCAATTCTGTATAAACTTGAACATTTAGGATTGTCTGAGCATTGGACCATTGAAATGTTTAAAACATGATGAAAAAGTTTTACAAGGCTGAGAATGATTTTGCCTCAAAAGGAACCCGCACACCTCTTATGGGAAGCTGCACCATGACCAATTGTCTTCTGACTTATGTACTTCGATTCTCATAAAGATGCTGATCAAAAGTTATAATTGCGCCAACTTTCTACGATGCACCGTTTTCGCAAAAAATCAAAAAGAAGATTCAATTATTCGGTGATAAAAAGCCAGAAAGATTCCTCATTTCAGTGCTCGATTGACAAGCGGCTGTGTGTCAACAAGGAAATCATGGGGAGTCCCGCACCGAGCGGCAGTCTTATCTCGGATTCTGCACGCCGTTTTGCTCGACCATCCAAATCAGATTCTTCAGGAGCATAAGAACAGGAAAGTCTGAACGTCTACCGGGCGAGTGCAGGAGGGAGGTAGCCCCTGAGTCGGCAGGTACAGATAAGAAGACGGACACATGCTACGTTTTTTCCTTATTCACATTGGGCCTGTTCTCAAATGCTTAGTTCTTTTTTATTCATAGTCGCCGAATAATTGAATCTTCTCTTTGATTTTTTGCGAAAATGGTGCATCGTGAAAAGTTGGCGCAATTATAACTTTTGATCAGCATCTTGAGGAGAATCGAAGTACATAAGTCAGAAGGCAATTGGTTATGGTGCAGCTTCCCATAAGAGGTGTGCGGGGTCCTTTCCCCTATTCTCACTCCGATTAGAAAGACCCACACAACCATCGATAGAAAAAAGTGAAATTAGAGCCAGAAAACGTCCAACAATGTTGATAAATCAACAAATCTAGTACAATACCGCAAAATTGTATTAAATGGGAAATGGTGGGCCGCAAATTGAATTCCGTAGATCAATCATGACCAACATCATTTTCAGATCCCTTTAAGGAAAAGGGTACTACTTCCATTTCTGAGGTTTCTTTGAGGCAAGAATTTCTAATTCTCAAAGAACACGTGGATTTAGAGGTCTGGGGCAGAATTAAAATCATTTTTAAAATCCTACTTTCTACATTCAGTCTGAAAGATGAGAAAAATGCAAATACCTGGAAAATTTTATCGTAAACTGAGGGTAGACTGAGCAAACAGGGTTGATGCCAAGTAATATGTAGCTCAGACAGAAAACTCCTGGCAGCTACTTGACTTCGATTGATGAAAACAGAGAGTTGGTTGATCCAATCGTAAATGAAATCTAGGTTGTTAGTTGGAGAGCTCAAAGCTACGGCAGCATTGAACTGGGATAGATCCATTCCACCAGGGACTAGTTCGAGATAATAAACTAATTTGAGAAACTCCTCAGAGGTTGACAATATTTCCGGAAGGGGTTCTTCATAAAGGTGATGCCGTAGCAGAGTTGCTACTCTCAAAAATGGTAAACACAATTCTTGTATCTAAAACATGAAAATAATGAAAAATATTAGAGAAATGACAGCCTTTCATTCCTCGTATTTACATTTTTTAGATTTCATTCAACACTGATCCTAGACTACCTTTGTTCTTAACTTGAATAAAGGAAGAATATTACAAGGTGACTTTAAATAGAATTTTAGCACTGAAGTAGTGCTTCATTCAGGGTATAAGGAATCCTTTCGGCGAATCTCCATTTAAAGAGTACATACAGTTGGAAAAGTCTTTAATCACTGTGAGTTAAACACATGGCCCACAATGTGAAAGATGTAGAACATACAAAGTATGCATGAAACGTTAGCTAGTCTTAAGGTAAATGAAGGTATTGAAGTAAGCTGGCTCTTGAGGTACTGACTGACTTCATGGGCTTGCGCAAAAATGTTCAGAGACCCAAACAGTACAATGGTTTGCAGTAAAGTAGTTGCAAGATTGAAGTCTTGAGGCTAGTTTGCTTTTCGATGCAAGCTTGCAAATTCAAACCTTTTGAGGCTTAGTTTGCAATTTAGCTGCAAACGTGCAAAATAACTGCTGAATATCAAACTTTCTGCAAGATTGCGAAACAATATTTTCTTCAAGGTTATTAGTCAAATTTGCAGCAAGGTTGCAGAAAAAATGACTGGGAAGACTGTTTTGCAAGCTTGCAACAAGGTTGCCACAATATTGTGTTTTGTTTCCAACATTTTCCAATGAAGTGCTCTTGTATGTTCTTTTTAAACAATTCTTCCTTAGAGCTTAATGTTTTTTTGTTTTCATGAGACCAAAAACAACTTACACGAGAATAAATAAGAGAAACCTAAGAGAATTAATTATAAAGGAGAATTAGAAATTCTAAACTCGATTCGCAGCACTTGCTTCTTCTGTGCGACTCATTTTCGGTTTGCCTCAAGTTCAAATAGTCAGTGTGCTATAGAAAATCTGCTGCAAACTTGGATTACTATGTTGTTGCAAACTTATATTACTATATTTCTGCAAACTTAAATTGTAATGTTGCTATAGCTTATGATACAAAATTTCTGCAAACTTGCCCCAGTCCCTCAAAACTTGTGGAAAAACTAGATCGCAGCAGCCTTTCAGCAAGGCTGAAAGCTGAAGGCTTGCAGCAAGATTGCCCTGCAAGTCAAAATCAATCTTACTGGAAGCATGTAAGTAGTTTGGGGGTAAACTATTGCACACCCACAAATTTTGAGCAAAGCTCTAAAGTGGCCTGTGATGGAAGCATATGTATTTCGAGACAAGTAACTTTTTTTCTAAATGAAAAGTCAACATTTTACGGTCCTTATTGTGCACACTCTAATTGACTTCAAATATGCTCTGATGGTTTATATTTTAAAATCAATTAGAAAGGGTTTATTTAGCCATTTCTTTCAAGGACGAGTTTAACTTAATTTGTCCTCCATTTGCATTTAAAAAAAGGCAGTAAAATATGTCCAAGATTTGCAGGAAAGGTCTCCAGAATTTTGTCCACTGAGATGGAGGTGGGGGTGAAAGAAGTCTTAGGGGTTCTAAAAAGACTTTAAAAAACTCTTGACGATTCTTTCAGTCAGGCGCGCTTATACAGAATGTTTCGCTCATACTAATAATTTAAACTCTTTTAATTTATTGAAAATCATACAAAGATAATTTTGACCAAAACAATTTTTAAAAAAAATGAAAAATAGAAAAATTAAAATTTTGTGCATGCACAAAGTAATTGTAAAAATGCAAGACGGTTCACCTTATTTTCAAGAGCAACTTTGTCCGGCACAAAATTGAAATCAATATTGTGACTGATCATTTCAGCATCATCTTCTAAATAGAGTTGAGTGGGGTCTAACTTGTTAATTGTTACAGATATACATTGCTCTAGTGTATTTAGAGGCCACGAAAGAGCCTTTGAAGAGCATCTCCAGTAGTGCCTTTCTGTTTCACTCATTCCACAGCTGATTTGAGCAGTTATTTGAAAATATAACAAATTGTATAAAAGTTTCACTACGACTGAAAAATAAGCTGAAACAATGATAAAAATTGCATTTTAAAAATTCTGAAAATGAAAGAAGAAAAAAACTGACCAAATACTGTTGAGGGAGTATTTACCACGACACAAGAATAACATTAAGTTAAATATATTCCATGGAATTAGGGGGGGAAAAAGTAAACGGATTACTGGGCTTGAATTTCTTCCTTTATTTCATTTCTTCATGGGCATGTTACCAGATACTTTTTAAGAGATCAGAAGTTTTTGTGAAAAACTTTAAATGAAAATTTATAAAAGGCCAGTTCCGAAAAATTTCAGAAAAATTGATTGAGCCAGGATGATTGCAACATTGCTATAGTTTTTTTCACGGCCAACTGTTGTTCACGAAAACTGAGACTTTTTATTCGGCATTAAAATTCGTAAATGGCAACGCATCAGTCTTGGACTTCAGTGACCGTACCGCTTGCCGGACACCCTCTTTTGTTCAGCGACCATAGGCCTGCAACCCATCCATTGTAAGGGTAAGAACAATAGACACCCTGCACCCCTCCTTAATGGGCCCTAGTACCCGGACCAAAATTTTTTTCTCGCTGAAAAAGTCATCTTTTGGCGTGAAAATTTAGCTCCAGCGTGAAGTTATGATAAGAACGCACTAAAATTCAGTGCAATTATCTCAATTTTGAGCTGATATACGGCATTTCGCAGCGAATCGTGGTCACACGCAAATGCCGTATATCAGCTCAAAATTGAGCTAATTGGATTGAATTTTATTGCGTTTTTATCATGATTTCACGCTGGAACTAAATTCTCACGCCAAAAGATGACTTTTTCAGCGAGAAAAAAATTTTGGTCCGGCTACTAGGGCTCATTAAGAAGGGGCGAAGGGTGCCTATTGTTCCTAGCCTTACAATGGATGGGTTGCCAGTCTATGTTTGCTGAACAAAAGAGGGTGTCCGGCGAGCAGTACGATCATCCGAGTCCAAGACTGATGCGTTGCCGTTTACGGATTTTAATGCCGAATAAAAAGTCTCCGTTTTCGTGAAACAGACTATAGTTGCTTTTTGTGCTTTTCCGGTAAAATTGTGGTGCGTAGAATTCCATTTAATTTCGGCCTACTAAGACTTTTGAAACGGAGGGATGAATCCTAACACATTCCAAAAATTCAGCAAAATAGCACAGCGGATCACTATTTCATGAGGCTACTTTGTTGGGTTTTTCTTTAAAAAACGAAGCACATTCTTTAGAACTTTAAACTTATCTTAGCAGAATATTTCTGAGCTGAGTGATCGGATATGAGAGCACCAGCCATTTGATTACTGCAAAACCTATGAATGCAGGTCCAATCGACAAACTTGGTAGAAATTGAGTAATATAGAGAGAATGATGTAACAGCATGAAATCCTTTATATTGCGCAAAAACAGCTCTACGTACCTTGATCCAAGTGTAACGGAAGCAATAAGATTAACTGAGTTAGTAAGGCAGTAGGATCACGTAACATTAATGGAACTTCTCTCTCCATGGGAGCGATAGCAGTAACTGAATCATTTTGAATACCAGCCAGTTGCTGCCAAGTTCTCCAGACAGGCCAATGTGCCAGCAAACCTGCGTGCATTGCTAATACGTACAGTAAAGGTGCTGAAAAAAAAAGGAAAAAAGGAATCAGGACTAGGCCTTACATTTTTTGTCATACATTTTTTTTTTTTAAAAAAGATTAATTTTATTGTAAGCTTCCAATACATGAAATATATACAATTAGCTCAAATTATAAGTAATGTATCTAGAAGTAACAACAGATTAATTACTTAATATCATAAGAGTTAAGAAAGAAAGTGGTAAAAAAATTTACTAACTACAGTTACATAATTACATAATTTTGAATATTTAGAGTTTAGGACTCGGAATCAGTAAAGACATTCATAAAGATTCAATGGATTAATGAGTGAGTTTCAGATGAGATGAGTTGACGTAAATAATTTTATTCTAGAAATAGTTTTGTCTCAGAAATCTGTGTCAGGGTTGGTGACAAGCTCCTGAGGTTTCTTTCTTTTAAGTCTTCTAATCTCTTTTAGACTATTTAGTAACTCATTCGCTGTTTCGTTGGGGTGACGATGAAGCCTGTCTTCGTACCTTTGTGAGATTTTCTGAATATATTTATAAATAGATTCTATGCCTAGGTCCTTGTGAATGTCTCTATTGGTTTCATATCTTTGGCACCACACAATTTTCTTAAAGTTTTAGACCGCATCGATTGCAATAATTTTAAACTAGATTTGGGGGCGTAGCCCCAAATTTGACAGCCATATGCCTATGTGGGTCTTATGATTTGTTTATAAAGTAAAATCTAAGTATCTAAAGAGAGGGAGGACTTCTTACCTAGTAACCAGTTTAATCTAAAAGTTTTAAAATTGCATTCCTTCTTTTTAAGCTTAGTATGATGTCTCCATTTAAGTTTGGTATCTAACATAATTCCTAACTATTTTGCTACTTTGCTTAACGGTATTGCAGTATTACAGAAATTTAGAGAAATTTTTCTAATTTTTTCGTTTGAAAATATGACAAAAACAGTCTTTTTGCAGTCCATCTTGATGTCTTTTCTATCTTGCCACATTTCAACATCCTTGAGATTTTCCTCAAGAATTCTCACTGCAATGTATTGTTTACAATGAGATGATAGGTAGGTGGTGTCATCTGCGAATTTTCCTAAAATAGATCTCTTTTTAGGTTTAGGTATATCAGAAGTAAATAATAGATAAAGAAGGGGGCCTAAGACCGATCCCTGTGGAACTCCGGCTAGGATGTTCCTAGTGGTCGAGAATTCCTCACCTACTCTAACTTTAAAAGTGCGATCTTCAAGATACGATTTTAATAATTTAGCATGGCAAGCGGGTAGGAGTTGTGAGATCAGTTTAATAAGAATCTTGTGAGAGACTCTATAGAACGCTTGGGCTACGTCTAAAAATACTGCAGCATAGTATTCACCTTTCTCCAAGGCTGTTTCAATAAAATTGGTTATACGATGAATTTGTTCGACTGCAGAATGTTTTTGTCTAAAACCGTATTAATGGGATGGAAGTAACTTTTTACTGTTAATAATTTTCAGAAATCTTGAAATATACTTTCTTTCAACTAGTTTACCAATGAATGAGATTAAAGAAATGAGATGAAGTTTTGGTTGCATTTTTGCCTTTTTTGTGGAAAAGGATTATTACTGCCTCTTTAAATTGTTTAGGGATTTTTTGAAAATATAAAATTGTATTGAAAATTTATATTATCTTATGTACTGCTTTGTCTGGTAATTTTTTTAAAATTGTGCCGGTGATTAGATCAGCACCAGGAGAATAAATTACATAAACCATTACATAAACATTAAAAATGTGAAGCTACCCACAGACTTAATAAAATTCTATTTTGCTCCTGTTTAAAGGTCAGGACAGTTTCTGTGATGTTTTGCAGAGAAGCAAAAAATTCTTTCTCCACAAATCCTGCATATAGACGAAATTATATTTCAACAAAACTAAGGAAACTCTAAGGAGGCTCGTTAATCATTTAAATGTTCTTTATGTAATGTTACCACTATATCAGTCGGCCAAACTCGGCTCTTCCCAAGACTGTTTCTGATTCTAGTGCACGCTCCAAAGTGCAATACAGAGAAAAATACAAGTATAAGCACTGAAGAGAACCAACTGCAAAATAATCAAGAAAGAAATGCGTAGTGCATTATAAAATCAAGACTTACTTATGCAAGACCTCTTGGGTATCATTGCACTAAGATTCATTGCATCTAAAGGATTGCTATTTTGTTGCACGACTAAATTTCCACCTCGCTGAACAACTTCAATTTCTAAATTAGTGCGCGCTATTGAGCTGACAAAGAGAAACAGAGTTTGAGGAGGCGTTTGAGGGACAGGTGAGCTACTTTTTTGTCTGAATTTTGGAAACGTTGCGCTATTCATATCTTCCATTGCTTTGCTCATGGCAGCAGCTAGCTTCGACTCCTTCTGGAAACACCAGAAACATTACGTATTAAGAAGTAACATACATAGGATATGATAAAGAGCAAACATTTCTTGGCAACAATCTGATGATATGATGCGTTTAAGATTACTAGAACTCAAACAAAAATGGATAGAGAATTTTACTGGTGCTACTATGAAATTAGACACATTTAAGGACTGGTAATGGCTGCCTAGAAGCTGGTATCTTGCCCAGATACGGGATTCCAACTGGGCTATGCTTGATGTGGCTTGACCTCATGACAGACATATTGCAAGCTACACTGGTGGCTTTAAGGCCTTAAGAGCCAGTTTTGAGCCGACCAAAATTCTGTGGAGACATGCTTGGGGGTTAGATTATCTAATCACCAATATTTTTGCACATGGAATACTCAACACTAAAGAATTGTGGCGGAACATTGTTTGTACAAACGTTTTCAGCGTGACAAGAGCTTTTTAAAAACATACTGCATACAAGGACTTTCTAGTACAGTGGAAACGGTGGCTGTGGAAGCTGTTGTTTGGTAGCTTTCAGATCACTACATATGCTTTTTGTCACAAAACTGCACCTTCCTAACAGCACCATAGAGAATACAGCACTGTCATCTTGCAATAAGATTTTTATTCCTTTTCGGTCTCTGCTGTTATCAACTTGACAGTATCTTTGCTCGTTTATATGTCTCGGTGGAGCCAATTATTGCCAGTCTCTGCGTGCTAGTGTGGCAGCTACCGCCCCAGTGTGACAAGATTGGATGTGGAATTTTTATGAAGTTTCTGCAAAAAACTTTCTCTTCATCTGTCACAGGCCAACAGAATCATCGTTCACTATTACAGTTCTCCTTGACTATTATTGTAACCGATCATGAAGCTTGGTGGGGAAACATTAGTGTTTTGTTCTAGATGTCACGTTTACTTGAATTTTAAATTTCCCTGTCTCTTCAAAGATTTTTGAAGGATTTTATACTTGAAAAGACATTTCTAGAGAAACTTTAAAGATTGCATTCTTTGAAAAATGACATTCATGTAAAGTTTGCTATCTTGTTCCTCTTGAGGGAAAATTTTTAAGATTATTGACAGCAAATCTCCTTGGTTTTACCCCAAATTTTCACAGTTGAGTACAACTTTTGATTTGAAGGTTTATTATTATCTTTTAAATGTTTTTAATCCTATAATCTTAGACCATCATCAGTTTAGCACAGCTCTCTGATCTTCCTGTTTCAACTCAGAAAAATTGGGAGAGCCTTGTTGAACCTGGCAGACAGCCCATACACAAAGAGAAGTGTTTGCCAAAAAGAAAAGATAAATAAATACATAGGGTGTCCCAAAAGTACTGCCCCTTTTTCCGCAGAGGGCGAAAGAATACAGATGTCAAAATGCAGTTTGTGTGAGGTTATAGTCCTAGTAATTACCTATAAAACAAGACCAAGTTGAGCTCTGTATCTTAAAATTTGACCGACATACAGCATTTTGAAAATGACGTGTCAAGGTGGCGCCTACAGGATTTTCAACATTTTTTACAAAAGAAAAAACCAAGTTTAAGAATGAAACGGTTTTAAAAAGAAAAAGAAGCGGCCAGAAACATATGGCAACACTTTTACATATATTTTACATTTACAACATATGGCATTTGGCAACGTGTAAGCGCCCCTATGCAGACCAACGACAGGATTAAACGTGTCCGCTAGTGCCATCCAAGTTGGTCAAGCTTTCCCGTCACGTCAGTCTGAGTTCATCCCTCTGTCGTTTTGGAAGTTTCTTTCGCGATGAGTACCGAATTAAGAAAAGAACAACACCACGTTATTCGTTATTGTTTTCGTCGAGGAATGTCAGTAAAAGACACTTTTAATGAAATGAAAGGCGTGTATAAAGACGACTGTTTGGACAGAAGTAGCATTGGTCGTTGGTTTAAATCTTTTTCTGGCGGCCGCGAATCGGCGGAAAGTCTCGCGAAATGGGAAGAACTGATGCGACGCTGCATACAAAGTGAAGGAAGATACTTTGAGAAGGAAGGAAAAACGGAGTCATCTGATGAAGAAGTGTAAATTTTGTCTACCTCGGTAAGAATCTATAAACTCATTCTTAATAAAACCGTTTCATTCTTAAACTTGGTTTTTTCTTTCGTAAAAAATGTTGAAAATCCTGTAGGCGCCACCTTGACACGTCATTTTCAAAATGCTGTATCTCGGTCAAATTTTAAGCTACAGAGCTCAACTTGGTCTTGTTTTATAGGTAATTACTAGGACTATAACCTCACACAAACCGCATTTTGATATCTGCTTTCTTTCGCCCTCTGGGAAAAAAGGGGCAGTACGTATGGGACACCCTATGTAGAAAGCACACGAGTACTTACATCAACCTGTTTTGGATTTAGTTTTAAGAAGCCAGTTAACTCTAAAGCCATTGCTCCTATGGACAATGGTCTAGAACGCACCATTGCAGCACCTTCGCCTAACTGAGGCGGGAGAGGCAACACAGAATTTGCCATTTGCCGGCATAAAGGACATTGATATTCACCCCTAGAATCAATCAAATTGAAAAACATTGAAGGTCAACTACATTACCATTGATATTATTTCCTTGTCCTCATCCATTCGTGGAGACTATTGATCTAGTTATCTCAAATTGAAACAGAATGGAAAAAAAAAAAAAAAAACAGAGGAAAAACATAAAACAAGAAAGATTAAATATAATTAGATGGAAAGAAAAGATTGAGTTGTTTTTCGGCGGTTAAAAGAAAATAAACATTTTCAAGATTTAATTTAGAAACTGGACAAAAGAATTTGAAAGTCCAGGTATATCTACCAATACAGATTGATATATTTATCAAGCGATTTACCAATGTTTGATAGACTAACTTTGGTAAGAATATAATTTTTTTGGCAAATAAAGGCCAAATTAAACGGGAAAAGAACAGTAAGGCAGCAAAATATGTAAAAGAGAGTCAACTATTGAAATATGGGTCAATGCGAGTAAATTCCCTTGTAATGAGTTAACTGGTTACAGCGAGAATTTTAGCGCTTATTCCGAAAATGACCTCTAATGGTCTGGGTTAATTTTCCCCAGAAATCGGAATTTTCCCTAAAAACTGAGCTTTCCCTGAGAAAATTCTATTTTCCGGAAAATTTGTGCTCGATGGAGAAGAACTCAGGTCAATTTCAGATTTTGCAGTCAAAATTACACAGTAAACCATGCACAGCGTACCTATTAAAGATTTCTTTCTGTTCCTAATATGAAGGTTTTTGCGGGCAAGTGACCCTCCCCATCCATATAGTACCGTGTAGAACTCATCCAATAGTTTTGAATCGGAAAGGAGGGGAAATTTTTTTTCTCAGGTAACAACAGGAGTCATTCCCACTTAATTATTGCTGCTGAAGCCAAATAAAATATGATTTTCGTTTTTCTTCAAAATCGTCGGAAAATCAAGATTACAAAAGAGGGATTTTTAGGAGCTAAAAAACGCATTCTTCTTTTAAAAAAACCGATTTTTCAAAAATTTGTTAGATTTTTTAAGAAGAACGTCATTTTCGGCGTCAGAGGCAAAAATCAAGTGGGAATAACTCCCTTTACTAACTGAGAAAAATAACTTTTCCCTCCTTTCCAACGAAAAAAAATCGGGTGAGTTTTTTCACATGGTGTCATAAGGGCTGAGAGGAGCACTTGCCTGGAAAAATCTCGGTATCAGAAACAGAAAGGAAACTTTAATGGGCATGCATCACAAGAATTCTCGTGTTATTTTGGCTGCAGAATCTGAAAATGACCTTAATTTTCTCCAATGTACACGAATTTTCCGGAAAATTAATTTGACTCTGGAATAGCTCAATTTTTACAGAAAATTCAGGGGGAAAATCGACCTAACCTAGCGGTGGCCATTATCATAATCAGCGCTAAAAATCTACTGGGAATTGGTTGACATATTTTAGGCAAATCTAAAAAAATAACAAAAATCTGTTGAGCGGTGTAGTCTGAAAAGGCATGATCAGGGACTTGTCTTTAGTTTTCCTACAATGAAACCTCCCTCCCACTTTCACTTCCAGTTTCTTCAGATTCAGATGAAATAAACCAGATTGATATGACTTGTGTTCCTCTTTAGGTTCTTTTGGTATTTAAATGGTTTAAGGCATACACAAGCTTTGAAGAAGCTTACCTGTCTGATGCCATGCGATGCTGAGTTCTGACTAATGTGCATAAATAGGACTTCAAGCAGTCGAGATGAAGATGATGACCACATGTTTGAACATGAACTCCTCCTTCCCATCCAAGGTTGACAGAGACCAGCCATGAAAGCTGTGAGACACAGAGCAGATAGTGGAGAATTATGAATCATGTGCTTGAAGAGCACAGATAACCCAGAATGGGTTGGTGGATCAAGCCATTGAGGATACTAACAGCCAAAAAGAAAGGGTTACAGTAACATTAAATGCAGCACTCTCAGAGTAGAGGATTTCAAAAGAGAGTAAAAGGAGGGTATTAAACATTAAAAAAAGGATAATATTTTGACAGATGGATGCGGGGTTTGCTCACAGAAGAAGTGGACCTAGAGTATACTCCTAGCAGCTGACAAGTAGAGGCTCAAAAGTAGGTAGGATGCATCAAGTTCCAAGCCTCCCATGCATTTTTTAACCATTTCCAAAATCATTCGTGAGACTTTTCCTCTGCACACACACACACACCCTCACACACACACATATATATATATACATACATACTCTTAAACAAAAATCACGAGTACTTTCCAACCTTTTTATTATTATTACATTTTGCAATCTTCACACTACATTTTATACACCGACGTTTCGGAGACAATTTTCTCCATCTTCAGGGCAGACGAGTTATCAATAACTGAACGAGGAAAAAAACCCAGTCCAGTCGCAGCAAGAGACCAGTTTAACGATAACAGGAGACATGACAAACATCAACACAAACAATAACAATAAGCCCCCGCCGCAGAGAGGTAGTAGGTACTCATACAGAATGAAAGTTTTCAGAGATTAGAAAAATATTCCTCAAAGTGAGCAAACTCAGTTCTAGAATTTATAGCATTTTGGTTATTTAAAATACATAACCCCTCCAAATTCAACCTAATCTGTTCATTCTTCTCTCTCTTCAACACCCTGGTGTTATTGAAATCAAAGGAATGACCCTTTACTCTCATGTGTTGCTTTAGCCCCGTCACCTCATGTTGATTAAACTTATGCCCATCCAGCCTTTTATGCAGATATTGGGATGACTGCCCTATATAGACGCCTTGACAATCTCCACACGGTATCTCATACACCACTCCTGACAGCTTTTCAGTTGGGATTTTTGACTTCAAACAAGACTGGAAATTTTGTAAATTTGATTTATTAGAAGTGACTAAAGTGTAGCCATGCGGCTTTAACACTGATCTAATCTTTTCTGAGCAGAAGGAAACGTACGGACATACAACAAATTCGGTTTTTTCGAACAATTTCGGAGGGGGAAAGCCATTATAATAAAATTTCACTACATTCTCAAAAATAGAGTTGACAAGGTGCTTGGGATACCAATTTTCAAATAACAATTTTTTAGCTTCCCTTATTTTTTCCTTGCGGAGCATGGGATGAGTAAGTAGGCATACACGTCTTGCCAAATTCTTAATTACATTGATTTTTTGAGAGAGAGGTTGTGCAGACAAAAAATTCAGATATCTGCCCGAGAAAGTAGGTTTTGTAAACCACGATGTAACAAATTTACTCCCTTGTTTTATAACAAGAACATCCAGGAAAGCTATGGCATCATTGGCTTCATATTCAATTGAGAATTTAATGTTGCTCGAAAACATGTTGAAGAATTGGTAAATACTATTGAGATCGTCCTTATGACAACATAGAATTATGTCATCCGCAAAGCGCTTATAAAATAACATTTTATACGGAAAAACTTCAAACATTTTTTCCTCAAAATATTCCATAACCAAGTTGGCAACACTGGCACTCACCGGTCCACCCATCGCTAGTCCGTCAATCTGTTTGTAGCAATCTTCTCCAAACTTAAAAATTGTTGAGTCTAAACATGCCCTAATGCCCTCTAGGAATTGCTCTTTGGGTAAGGTTGTATGTGGGGCAATTAGTGGCCATTTTTCCGTGATAACGTTCAAAGCTAACCTTATGGGAATATTTGTGTACATTGATTCGACATCAAATGATGCTATAACGAAGTCATCAGGAGGAATTTGGCTTTTTAGAAATTCTATAAATTCATACAAATTTTACCAGAATGATACGGCGGAAAAACACGACTGGAAGGGCTAAAGCTCGCCCGGCAACGCACTTGACACGGGCTCGCTCTGGGGGCGTAAAGAGCGTGAATATTTCGGGGGCGCCTAAAAGGCGAGGTCTCCACCAATCCGCGAATTTTAGGAGCCACGGATAGCTCACATGGTTGAATGATGACAAGACAACAATTGATTGATTAAATGAATGATTGATTGATTTAATGATCGTAGACAGAATACACGAATCAAATTTCAGAACAACGAAACCGAAAAACACAACTAAATCTTCTTCAAAATCTTCCAAACTTCCAAAAACTCTCCAAAACAACCGAAACTCAAAAATAGACAAAAACTACAGCTAGCACACCAGGACTTGGCGGGGGCAACGGTCGGACGACTCTAATGTTCTGATCCTCTATGCCGGGGGTTTCGCGGAGGCTGCTGACGAATTTTCACTCAAAACGTTGACGGAAGGGTTGAACCGCACTCAATGACTTGGCGGGGGCAACGGTCGGACGACTCTAATGTGCTGATCCTCTATTCCAGAGGTCTACGGAGGTTGATTCGACACTGCCGAAAAACACTTTGAGGACTCAGGGATGGAATTTTACGTGCACCTGGACATTACACGGAATCGCGACATTTCCCATCCCGGCGAACATGAGCGACTGAGTTTAGAAATTTTCCGGAAAACGCGCGTCACCGTGCACCGCCGCTTCCTACGTCACCGTGCACCGCCGCTTCCTACGTCCCGCGCGTCCTGCCCCTTTACGCCAATAGCATCTCACGAAAAGTGCTGATCAATCTAGGGCTGGCCGCGGTTCACACGGGAAACAAGAGCAAAATCTAACCTATGACGTCACGACATTTCCTCCTCGCTGAGCCGCTGTCCGGCAAGCGATCCGCGCTATTCTCCCAGGACAAGGAGAACATGAATAATTTTTAAGTTTAGGGCTCAATTTTCGTTTCAATCCGTAAAAATCTTAGCTTTTCTACGATTCATTAGAATCCATTAGATTCATTGACATCATACTTCAGATACGATTTTATATTATAATCTCTCCTTAAGCACAGTCAAAAGCCATCAAATATCTACTTTAATGGGTAGAATGACTATTCGATGTTTAAATAGTCTTCAAACTAAACGGTTTTCGCTTAGCATCTCCCAAATTTTAAATTTGGCGGGCGAATCTACCTGCTGGAAGGTTCACCACACGCCCGCCAAGAGCGCCATCTCCTTACCGCGTATCCCCGTAATTCAAAGCAAAAACAATAGAGAGCGCCATCTCCTTGCTGCTGTCGACAAACGTCAACAAACCTCGGGTTAAAACAATTAGAACCTCCTTTATTAACAAGCATTAAATCAGTCATATTTGTGCCGTATTATTATATTTGTGCTTAGTACCTCGTAAAAAGGAACCGCGAAAGATGGAATCTGCCGGAATTCTAAATTCATTAACAACAAACATATTAGTTTTTAATAAAGATCTAAGTGTCAGTTCTTGCGTTAGCTTGATGATTCATAGTACCTATGTAATGTAAGTATCTAATTAGAGTCTAATTTTGCTTGGTGTATACCTACGGAGTAATTTTGGAAATAGTATATGATGCATTATATAATGCATTTGAATTCCTAGGTTTCACCTGACTCAAAGCGTTTGCTGCTATTATCTAGAAGCGTTCCGACTCATTTATCAGAGAATTGAGCGTTTCCTATCGACCCCTCTGCAATTATGACATTTGTCCAAGAATCCTTCAGGAACTTAAAGTAATGACTCAGATGGTGCTTTTGAGCCAACTTTCAAAGAATTAAAGGCATTTTTTTCAAAATCTACAGTCCATGAGCTGTCCGTGTGACCGAAGTGCTCTCCTCGCTATATGACGCGTAACCCTTCAATTTTTAGTTTAGTCCAAAGACCTCATAGGAACTTACATTATTGAACCAGGTGGTGCTCTTATGCCAACTTTCGAAGAAATGAAAGGCATTTTTTTTCAAATTTACAGTCTTTGAAAATGAGTTGTTTGTGTGATGTCGCGGAGCGAAGTGCCCTACTTTTGGGCCTCGTAATCCCTTGAATTTTGAGTTTAGTCCAAAGATCTTTTAGGAACTTAAATTAATGACCCAGGTGATATGCTTGATGCCCAATTTTAAAGAATTAAAGGCATTTTTCAAAATTGACAGTCCCTCAAAATGAGCTTTCCGTGTGATTTTGCTGAAAATGGACCTTTAACCCAATTTGACCCTAGCCCCCCAAATTTTAGCGTACCCCAAAATCGTTTAACGTGCATAAGGAGACCATAAATATGGTGTTCTGTGAGAATTTTGAATGAAATCGAACAGATAGATTCTGAGATATCTCTGTAGACAGATTTGGGGGACGTCGGACGGACGGACACACATTTTTTCAAGTATGGTTATTTTGACTCCTGGGACCTTAAAACGTCTAGAAATGATGAAATTTCAACTTTTTTTTTTCTTGGAGGATGACAATACTTCCTCTCTACCCTAGGGGAGCGAGAAAGTAAAAAAGGGTCTTCCTTTCTCTATATATCTCTCCCTGCCCAGGATTTTTCAAACACCTATTTTTAAAGTGAGCTTCAAATGGTTAATTTATTCAAAAACTTTGGTGCTTTGCATTTGCAATAATCCTAGACACCCGAATTACTTTGAAGAAGAAAATTAAACGGTTAGTGGTTAGTCATCGGTAGTAGTTGAAATTTCAAAGATACACATAGGTCATTTTGCTGGGGGGGGCCTGGCCCCCCACTACCGGGGGGTCTGGCCCCCCACCACCGGGGGGTCTGGCCCCCCACCACCGGGGGGTCTGGGGGGTATGGAATACCCCTCAGGTCAGTGGGGGGTCCGGGGGGCCTCCCCCGCAAAATTTTTGAAATTGTAACTCTATTTTTTTTCGGGGGAGGCCCCCCGGAAAATTTTTGAAATTGTAACTCTATTTGAGCGCATCTCGAGGCACTTGTGGCGCTAATCTTCCTTCAATTTCTGCCTGAAAATCACCCAGTTTTATGCAATTTAAGGTGAAAATACTTTGAAATTGTTGCATTCAACAGGTTATTCTATTTATAGGCATCGTCTCATGGGCCACAGCGACAGAAACTTAGAAGAAGGTGTTCTTGCACCATCCAGAATTTCTGGGGGGGGGGGGCAGATGATACTATTTCCAATTCTGGGGGGCCAGCCCCCCCCTGGACCCCCTTCCTACGCCTCTGAAAATACACACAAAAACTGGGCATTCCAATTCGCCTTGCTTGTTGCGTTGGTGACCAAATATGGCTGCATAATTTAACTCTTGAATTCATCGCGAGATATGCCGCTTCATCGCAATTTATATTGCATTCAAAACCGAAAAAAGGAAGATTTTAAGCAACTCGTGAAAATTGTCAGTTTTTCCCTGACTTTTAGCTGTTTTTGGTCAAATTCCCTGACTTTTCCAGGTTTTCCAGAGCACTTTTTTTTCCCCTGACTTTGCAGGTTTTCCCTGAATTCCCTGACCGTGGCAACCGTGCCCAAGGTATACAAAAATGCCACTAGACAAACATATCCAATTGTCCGATACTAGCAAAGAACTTCACGTGCTGCTTCTCATCAGCAACTGTGGTGCAGCGAACTGTCAGTCACTTCAGATGTGAGAGGGAGCAGTTTCAAAAGCCATGCCAGTTACCTAATTTCAATACAAAATAGGTAAGAATAGAAAGAAAGGAGATGCAAAATGTTACGAACTTTTTGCAACATTCATGTAAAACTTGAAGGGATTAGAATGGAACGCACTTTTCCTGAGGGCTAAACTCAGTCCTTTCCTTTCCAGTAGTCTCTGAACTAGATTGATGCAAAATTACTCACATTGTCAAACTGCCGTGCAAGTTCTTCCACTTTCCTGTCAAAATCGCTTGCCAGACTATCATCTCGCCTAAGATTTAGCCTTTCTTCATCACATGTAGGTAACATTGTTGGTTCAGGATGTCTTCTTTTATGTCCTAGCACACTGGTTGCCTGTTAGAAACAATAATAAATAAGGTATTGTAATTTACCCTTACCGCAATAAAGATGGTCTTTCGAAACTAGTACACTCAAGTGATCATTTATTTTTTTAATAAATACAATCATTTCAAAGGAGAGAGCAAATAAAAGAGTAAACTAACATCTCATCTTTAAACAAAATATAGAGAGGTCAAGGTACTCTTAGAACCTTGAAGAGGAATTCTCCTTTCACACATCATATTACTATCCCTCTAAACTTACTCCAACTTTGGATCTGATACCACCAAAGATACACACACATCAACGTAATCATCAGGTAAATACCTGGTGACAGATTCCACCTTTGCCGAATTGCACCATCTATTGGTCAGTTGATTCAGAGCAGGTGAACAGAGCACTTGAGAGACCCAGAAAAGACAAAAAAATCGTTTCAAGACTTCACTCTACATAATTCAGGAGATCAGCCTCATCCTCTCGACACACTGACAATATCGACTCTTGCTGGAGTATTTTTCTTAACCTTTTTGGATAATATTTTTTCATCCTAACAAGGAAGTAACTGCGTACAGCCTCTCCTCATTGCCACTACAATACTTGAAAACGGTTAAATTACACTGAAGACAAACTAGTTTAACTAACCAAAAAGTGAATGCCAAAGGCATCGATCAAAATTAAAAAAAATTTGGTGACTTGTAGGGCTGTGTTAATATTCGAAAATCTCGAATATTCGAGTTTGAATGATTTTTTCGATATCTGAATCAAACTCGAACTTAGAACCCTCGAATGATCGAATTATTCGACCACATTAACAAAACTTCGAATATCTAAAAAAAAAAGACCGAATATACATACATTCGGTCATATAGATGACATACTAGAAAGAGCTTGAACAGGCGCGCAGTTCAAACTACTTGTTTTAAGGTTAGGTGGTTAGGTAAACAAAGGATAACTTTCCATTGGTTCATCCAGCGCATGGCACTCGCACTTGACAGGTTAATTCAGCATTTGCGCCACTTGAGTTCCACTGAATAGGCGTACGAATGGGCGAATGTACTGACCTCCATAACCTATCCTCCTGCGCCTCGCGCGGCACCCTGGTCTTTACAATGTTGCTGGACTGTATTTGCAAGATTAACATTGATGTGAAGTAAAACTGAATAAAATGGATTTTCGGACAGTAAGCAGCAATTTTGCAGTTCCACGACAGTTCAATAAATTGCTCGTCCTTGATTAAAGGAAACAATTTTCTCTCCCTTCTTTTTATTCCCCAGCGAATCAAAATGTAAACAAAGCCATTTGATAAGTGAATTGATTAATTCTTGATATTTTTATCTATAATAGTAATATCCTTATTTTAGAAGAAAAAAAAAATTATTTATTCCATCTTTACTTCAAACAACACAGAGGTTGGTTTGGTCAAAAATAGATCAAAGCTAGGATTCGAAACTTTTCCAAAACATTCGATTTGATTTGACATAAAAAAAACCATATTCGCACAGCCTCAGTGACTTGAATAAACAAGAGAATTTCTCCATTAGAGCGATTGGTCGATGAGATGAATGATTAGAGTAGATTTGCTTTCTGTGTGATACAGCCATGCGTAGTACGCATTGCATAAAATAAAGTCTTCCCTCCCAGCTCCCCTCATCCGCACCGAGTTGGCTGACCAGCTGGTCACAGTTAGGCAAACTAGAAATCTATGACTGGGCATTTAGATGATGACTGGAGTATTTGTGTGTCATACAATTTGGTGGTATCATGACTAAGGTCCAGGACATTTTTGACTGAAAGTACATAGCATCATACACTGATTACTTTTGAATTCATTGATGTTTCATTGAAAGTTTTGAAGGATCAAACAGATCATCTATACTATAAGCTCCGAGACCTCCTAATTTTGCATAACTGGTAACGCTTAAATCCAGCATTCTACCGAGCCTATTTTCATGATTTTTGCGGTCATCGACAGGTAATTGGCCCTAAATGAGCCTGCTCTATTCAGATTTTGAAAATAGGACCCAGGTTATTTTACAATCACTTTATAAACTGAGCAAATTTACAGATTGCTCTGGAACTGCTGTCGCTATGCGCAGTGGCCGAGGAGGTTGTGCAGTGGCTGAGTAGCCTGCGCATCAGCTCTACTTATCAACACAAGATTTGCCCCCGTATTACAAGACTAGCGGTGGCCGAGTTGTCTAAAACGTCGGAAACATAATTTTCAAGATGTGGGTTCGATTCCTGACTCCTCAGCTACTTAAAATTATGACCTTCATATCATTATTCGTTGTTTTACGGCAATGTTTCATTAATCAGTCATTGCAAAACGCATGCTTTTGACTTCAAAATTTTTTTTTCTTTATTCACCAAAAACAAAAATCATTTCAATGTAAAAGTAAAGTGTACCTCATATCGTAATTTTTTAGGGGAAAAATAAAACCAACATTGACAGGAGGGTGAAAATAGGGCTGCGGCGGCCCATTGAAGGCGTGGAGCGCCTTCAGGGGGCGTAGCCCCCCAGTGAAATCATATTGAATGATTCATTCACAGCTAGAAGGAATTTTCTCCTTTGAAAGGGTCTCAAAAATACTAAATTCTATTAATTTCATTATTTAAATACTCATGGCCATGTCGTTCTTTCACACAGCAATAATATAACTTGCGATGGAAAAATATTTATACTTGATCAAGAAAAACTTACATACCTGAACTAAAACTGCTAAACCCATGGGTTTATCCTCAGTTGTGGGCGTAGTCTGATTACATATAACACAGTCATATTCTACTTTACTACACAAAGATTTTGTGGGCTCTTCACTGTCCCAATCCATGCCTTCTTCATCTGCAAAAAAAAAGAAAGAAATGTCCCACAATGTTAACACATACCACATGTATTAGACATATTTATGCTAAAAGGAACCTGGTGAAAATTAAATAAATCTAAAGGACAAATGAAGCAAACAAAACCTATCTACATGGTTTTTTTAAGATTTATTTTATTGGTATTTAGTTCCTTAGAGCATAAATATGTCCTGGTATGGGCCACTTGACCTTTTTAGTAATGACAAAACCAACAAACTCCGCTAAATTTTGTTGGCAATTGATGTGAAATTCTTTACAGCTTTCTAGGCTAGACAAACTTTATAAATCTAATTTTCTCCAAGCCAAAGTTGAACAAAACAGACCTGAAGAATAAATTCTCGTGCATTCTTATTTGCGATTTTTTAGGATGTACAAAGTGTTTGAGAAGAAAAAGAACTACTATTCAGGGTTTTCATAATTTCTTCATTTCCCAATTCCTGGACTTTAACTGATTTTCCCTAACTCCAAGGTTTTTGAGGATTTTTTTTAATTTTCACAGGTTTTGATCCAATTAGATTTTTTTTTAACGACCCCGACTTTCCTCTGAACACCCTGACCTTCTTGATTTTCCTAGCCGCTGAAAACCCTATCTCCTATTGAGATGCTACCTTTTTTCCGTTTTTAAAAAACAAAAACAGAAAAAACTTTCAAAACAGTTATCCCAGAAAAGTTACAAAATGATGTCAGTATAACGTTGAAAAAATAAGGGCTTGATCGGTCAATGGTTGGATTCCATCGTGGGACAATATTTTTTAAAAAATCACAACATTAGAGATGAAAAACACATAGAGAATATGGAGCGACCCTATTGGTTGAAACAGGTAGTGGTTATTGACTAAGGGGGGAAATGGTAGGCTAACTGTAGGATTTTTCGTGGGTTGCCGTTGGTTTATCTATTATTTACCTCTTCCGTCCATTGCAACCACCCACTTCCACCGATTGGATCGCTTTGTTTTCAGTTAGTCATCTTTGTCTACAGCTTTGTCTGTCAATTTCAATAGTCAGCCCACTGGTTCATTTGCCAAAAGTGCTACAGGGTGAAGGGAAGGTGCGGTCGGCTCAGAGCTGTCTGCAGCACTCAGCCTTCCCATGCATTCTTGAAGGCTCAACACCATTGTTCATGTGCCGTCAACCTCAATCTTTCATAGCTTCTGAATCGTTCCGTTTTCCCTGAGCCCCTTGACCATTCGTTGGGTGCTAAATTATATGGCCAACTTAAAAAAGAAACTGGTTGTGGTCCTGACAAAAGTTGGGATCTGTACTTTTACTTTGTTTTCAAAAGAACTTATTTGTCTCAAAAACAAAAAGATGCACAGACACAGCTCGAAAATTAACCGTTGGGAATTCCTCTTAAAAATCACAAAAAAGGCAACTTTGGACAATTTCTAGTAAAAAGCGAATTTTTTTATCTTTTCCACCTTTTGAGATATTAAGATATGAGGGTACTTTACCCTTGCCCTTCCCTAATATCTCCCCAAAATTGTTTGAGGGTCTGAAAATTTGGGATGAGACTGAACAGACTGAATTCGAAGGAAATTGCAGAGAAGGGGGAAAAAAATGACATTTATACAACAAATTATCTCGGAGCAATTGAAAAGAACTCATGTTCATGGGAGCTCTTGAAGAAATTATCTAATGTGACATCTCAGAGCCCATTTGATAAAACATTTTCAGGGAAAGGTACCACCTGTTTAAGAGGACACATTGTGCAACAGTCTGAAAAACTTTCAAGAAGAGCAATACCGAATTCATGAAAAAAATAATTTCTCCTTAAAATAACGCACCAATAGGCTAGAGATGCGTATGGGTAACAGACAACAGGAATTTCTCACAGAAGACAGATAGAGTCTTACCTGTTTCCATGGCTTTTTGTAGGAATTGTTTTTGTTTGGACGCAAATTCTTCCATTAACTTTTGTTGCCTTTCACGAGCTCTCCTCCGCCTTTCTATTTTTTCCAGTTCTTCTCTCACTTTCCGTTTTTTCTCACTTTCACCAGGTTGCCTTGGCCATAGTTTATCACGTGTGGCTATCACATTTTCTCTGATGGCAAAATGGAAAGAAATAAAAAATAATCAAATTAACATCACGAAAAAAAGCCAACGAGAGAAATTGAACATATAAATAAATATTTTAAAGTTGGCATTGATCAAAAGTCTGAAAATAAAACATTAATTGTGAGAAAATGCCCACTACCTTTAGTCATAAAGAAAGATCCAAGAAAGAAAGAAATCAATAAAGAAAGTCCCGCAACACCTTTCAACTTTTTTCCTAATTAAGCCATCAGTTTGAAACTTTGGGTCTGCTCTGAAGTCAAAGCAAACTACTTTTTGGCTTCCCAAAATTTTGGGAACCTCCTTTTAAGAGAAGAATGGACTCTGGTTTTATTTTCTTTAAGTAGCATCCTTTATCTTGTTTAACATGGTGAAAAAGGCAAAATTTAAAAAAAAAAAAAAAAAATGGTGCAAAGTTGTTTCACTTCAAAATTTTACACAGGAGGCGAATCACAGATCGAGAGCTCTGTAGAGTAATTTCTACCTAAGATATCCGTGTTTACTATTCTCATTAGTTTCATGACAAAAATACAAATGACGTAATTTGTATAATTTGACTTGGTTTGATTTGTGTCAAAAATACTTGTTAATATCTTGTTCAGGAGTCAGGATTGACTTCTGTTATTGTACATCATTTTCTACTTAAGATTTTGAAAAGGAAACATATGCTGTTTTTTTTTTTTTCTAGTTCAGACCTTGTCCAGTTTTCTACTGTTCTTCTGATTCCCATGATGCTGAAGAATTCATTAATGAATTTTCCATGTTACAGTGACAATTGTCCACTGTGACCACATTATCAATGTAGTTTGTGTGTCCTCATCCCTAGAAAATCCATATCATTGCCTAAATAATGTGAAATCAGAACAACTGACTGCATTAGATGCAAAGACAGCAAGAACATCTCATGTGCTCCGCACATCCACAGCCTGAGTGCAATCGCATTTTGTCTTATTGCTTTAAAGCTTGCTTTCCTAAATTCAGTCAATTCTAAGGAAGATTTTAAGCCCAAGTTTTTCTCAAAATTAGTCCACTTTTATAGCTTCTAGAAGATGGGAATGCAACTTATTGAATGATCGTGCGAACATTCATATTATAAGCGGCACTTTAAAAGGGAACCGTAGCAGGAGACAAAAAAGACTTGAAATGTTAACTTCTAGTTATGTACCTGCACAACTCATCTAATTCCATAATCTTCTTCAGAACTTTGGCAATGAAAAAGGGACCATCTCCAATTCGAGAATCATTTGATTCTTGCTTGAGATGAGACTGGCAACTACTGCTGCTGCTTGACGCTCCTGATGTTCCAGGCGTCGGCTTTCCTGAAGTGGAGGACTCCACTACATCCGGAAGAAATGAATCAGGAGCACCAGAGAGATGTGAATGAAGTTTCAGAAGCAACGATATGATGCTTTCATTTGCTTCTACTACTATGCTTCCGGATGGTGTTTTGGTGCCATCCAAGTATGGAGCACCCTGCAATGAGATAGGAAAGGAAAGCGATAGGAAATAATCAATGGGTTGCTAATTCTGCCATGGTAGCCAAGAGCCATAAGAGCAAAGCTGAAGTTTCAAAAAGTGGGCTCAGTAGCATATGAGAAGAAAATATTATTGATAGAAACCTTTATTTGAATCAAATCGCCTTTATCATCTGACAGACTCTCAGAAATCCATGAAACATTGACGAATTTATTTTTCAGCTTTACATGAAGGGTCTTTTTCATTTTCATGTTAGGCTAGTGTTAGGCAAGACAGCCGAAAGTTCTATCTTTTGCATGCTTTCAAGGTTGCATTTTGGACACACAACAAACAAATATTAAATTTAGGAATTTGCAAAAAAGGAAAAGGGGAATTTTACTTTAGAGTACTGCTCTCATTGGCTCTCTGGCAGAATAATGCTCTTGGTAACTGTCTTGTCTGAAACAACATCAATTGTTGCGCACATACAGCTTTCTCATATATCTAGTTTCCATATAAATGAGACAAGTTTCCCTGTTAAAGCAGCATCAAGGATTTCATTTGAATTGTATCAGATCAATTTTGACGAAAACTCGATTTCAATTTGAGAGTTGCTATCACACCAGTATTACTGCCAATATTTTAGGGTATAAAAGTAATTCTACTTAAATGATAGTCAGTATGCAGTCATGGGTAGTTTCAGTGAGGAACACATAGTGGCATTTCTGATGATTTGACACTCCCAATAGTACGAGTTCTGACCAATCATTACTAAACAGAGCACAAGGCTCTTCTTTCATAAATTGTTTCCTCGACCTATTCAACAGATTTTGACATTAGATTTTGCAAACTTCCTGATAATCTCCCACCTCCTGTAGCTTGGCTTGAACGAAAAGGAGCTGCATGTTTCTGATAGACTCTTCGGGAACAGTAAAATCACTTAAAATCAGTTTCAATGTTCTTTTCAACTGTGGTGATGAGGCCAAGCCACTTAGCAAATTAGTTTGGAAACATTGGCTTTTGCTTGTCCTTCCTCTTTTTAGGAAAATGAAGCGAGAGATTCAATTTATTTCGAGATTCGATTTAACCCTTGGCTGAAACTCCTTCTTTGTAATTTGAGGGTTTTTGTAGGAGCAAATACATTTTTTTTTTTTTTTTTTTTTTTTTGTAATTTGAGGATTTTAGGTGATGGTTTCAGCACTTCTTTGGGTACTCGTGTGTGTGTGTGTGTGTGGGTGTGCGTGCGTGTGTGTGTGTGTGTGTGAGAGAGGGTGTGTGTGTGAGAGGGTGTGTGTGAGTGTGTGTGTGTTTCTAGTTTTTTTAAAATATTTTTTTGTTGTCATTGTTAAATCAGACTCAAAGAAATGTAAATATGTTAATACATATCAGCTGACCTCGGGCCTCTTCATCATTTTAAATTACGTATTGGGTCCCTGGATATACAGGGTGTTTCAGACCACCCGTACCAGGCCTTTTTCTCGGTTGGTTTAGGTCGTACGAAGTCGGAGACCGCGGGGTAGAATGGGGAATTGACCCCAAGGAATCCGAATTTTGTGGTCCCGAAACCCCCCCACCCTCCTTGGGGGCTAAAGGGGGGGTCACGATGCTAAAAGTCACGGTTTCCGACCGAATTGCGGATCGACCGCATCAGAATTGAAAAGCACGGAAAATTTCACGTGGAATTGACCCCTAAAAATCCAAAATCGGACCATCCAAGGCCCAAAAATGATCCCCTAAAGAGGGGACAGTACCCCCCTCCATAATTTCTCTTTGGTCTCAAAATTGACGTAAATTCTCCAGAAAAAGACGGTTTCCCAGGTAATCGACCTCGAGGAATCCAAATTTCATGGTCCCGAAACTCCTCTAGCCCCCCTTGGGGAGTAAACGGGGGGGCCCAATTTTAAAAATCGGGGCTCCTTTCCGAATCGCAAATTGATTGCATCCAAATTGAGGAGCAGAACACATTTACATCTTAAGTGACTCCTAAGAGCTCTAATAGACCTCCTGAACGGCAGAAAGTAACACCCTGAGGAGGGGGGCTTCGCCCCCGCCTAAAATTTCTCAAGATTCCTCAATGGTCGCAAAATTGACGTCGATTCTCCAGAAAAAGACGGTCTCCCACGTAATCGACCCCGAGGACTCTAAATTTCATGTTCCCTGAGCTCCTTGGGGTCGATTACATGGGAGACCGTCTTTTTCTGGTAAATCGACGTCAATTTTGCGACCATTGAGGAATCTTGAGAAATTTTAGGCGGAGGCGAGGCCCCCCTCCTCAGGGGGTTACTTTCTGCCGTTCAGGAGGTCTATTAGAGCTCTTAGGAGTCACTTAAGATGTAAATGTGTTCTGCTTCCCCATTTGGATGCAATCAATTTGCGATTCGGAAAGGAGGCCCGATTTTTAAAATTGGGCCCCCCCGTTTACTCCCCAAGGGGGGCTAGAGGAGCTTCGGGACCATGAAATTTGGATTTCTCGAGGTCGATTACCTGGGAAACCGTCTTTTTCTGGAGAATTTACGTCAATTTTGAGACCAAAGAGAAATTATTGAGGGGGGTACTGTCCCCTCTTTAGGGGATCATTTTTGGGCCTTGGATGGTCCGATTTTGGATTTTTAGGGGTCAATTCCACGTGAAATTTTCCGTGCTTTTCAATTCTGATGCGGTCGATCCGCAATTCGGTCGGAAACCGTGACTTTTAGCATCGTGACCCCCCCTTTAGCCCCCAAGGAGGGTGGGGGGGTTTCGGGACCACAAAATTCGGATTCCTTGAGGTCAATTCCCTATTCAACCCCGCGGTCTCCGACTTCGTACAACCTAAACCAACCGAGAAAAAGGCCTGGTACGGGTGGTCTGAAACACCCTGTACAGTGCCACAACCAGTAATTTTTATCAGCCATGATTAACTATTTGATTTAATGATTTCTAGGGACACTCCCTGGTTACAACATTGGTCAACAACACAAAAGTACTGGCAGAACATGTTTTTAAATTACGAATGTATTTTTCAATAAAAAAATCCTACTTCAACTGAAATTGGCTATACTTGGGAATTAGCTTTAGTAGGACAAAATCACCAATCTCTTGACCCCCTAAGTCATCAAAATTTCACTGTGCTAACGAAGGTAATTGACAGTATACCTAAATAAAAGGGAGAATTCGATTGTCTTAAAGAGCTTACCTTTGCTCTACGTGTTCCAGTTTTTTGGTGTGAAGTTGGCAACCGAGGAATCATTTCAGTATTGGTGCTTGTGGAAGGTAGCGGAACCACCTCATTACCAATAACTGGTATCATCATTTGCTGATGCTGAGGTGCCATCTCGATTGCAGCCTGATTTCCCGATGGCATGTTACTGCTACTAGAGCCACTGCTAGAGCTTCCTCCAGAGCCTAAACAAATAAAAAGAACACCTAATGTCTAGGGACTCATTCCAACTGAGCAGGGGTGTCTTTAATGATTCTTAAGCAGAATATAAGTGGACGATAAAACTAAAAATCAATTCATTTTGATTAGCAGCATTGCAGATTTTCTGTCACAATTCTTGCTGGAGCAAAAGCAAAAAGTAGCACCAGAATAACAAAAGCGGATTAAAACCTAATTTTTTCTAGCTACATTCTCAGTCTGCTTTCAGGGAAGTATGACGAAGTAATGAATGATCAAGCTAGTAAATACATCGAGATGAGAAAAAGTCAACAAATTCATTAAATTTTAAGAACATTGATTGCGATTGTTCAGACTTCAAAGAAATTGTTGTTGCGGTCATCTTTGAGCACTCTCTCTTATGTTTGGAAACAACAAATTAAGAAGTGGCAGTCTGTTTTTCCTGGTATCTTCCAAGGTTATTTGCTGCTCTTTAATGAGTTATGGGTTATGTTTGATTTAAGTGATGTAATTGTCTCTGTGATAGTTTGTTAAGATTGTGAAATGGTTATTTTGCCTTTGAGCAAAATTTTATCCCAAATTCCCAGCCCATAATTTGCGGCGCGGCCCGGGAGAAACTTAGAATTTTTTCGGGATTCGGAGTTTTCCTCGGGCAGCGCCGCGAATATTTCCACACGCTAGCGGCGGAAACTGAAAGATGGGACGTCGGCAGAGCAAGACATGCGGATGCGTTGCAGCCGCTTGCCTTACACTTTTATGCGTTTGGAGAAAACTGCCTAAGAACCACGCTTCCATCGGTTACCGGCGGACACGCGAAGCTGCCAAGTCGATCAGGGGCCCGCGCTGTTCCCGAGAGAGTTTTTGTAAATTTTGCGGGTCCCTGATAGATTCATGGCACTGTCTGTCCGGCAATTCTCGGAAAGCGTGGTTTGGAGACTGAATTTTGCTGCTTCAGAGTTTTCTCCAACACTTTCTCATGGGAACCAACGCTCCCTTGGCCCAGGAAAGCGACTAAAAAAACTCTCTGAAGTCAGTCGTGTTTTCTCAAGCGGATGAGGAAGGTGTCGGAGACAATAGCCAAGTCCTTCCCGCGCTACCGGAAGTCCCGACTCGACCGGCGTTTGCGATCGTGTATTGTTTTGTTTTGTTTCGTTGGTGGTTTCTTCATTTTTGAAGGCAGCGAGTGTAAAATTTCCGTTTTGTGTTCCCAAAATTCTGAGAATGTTAGACAAAATTTTTCAGGTAAAATCGGTCCTTATCTTCATTCATGATAAACTACTTTGGCTTATGATATTTTCCAATATGATCTAGTGTTGTGTTTTTTTTTTGTTCACTGTGAATAAACTTGTGTGGCCTATTGTAACTTTTGGTGTACGGCTCCTGTTTTTTGGTCCTTGCTACATCTTCCCACCCCCTCCAGTTTTGGAACTCGACACCCGTTTGGCGGCTGGAGCGGCTATAAAATTCAGGATCTATTTCTAAGGCCAGCTTTGCCAAAACATCTCAACTCCACAAATATTGAGGCTTGTAGTCCCTTTCTTGAGTCTCTCAGAATCCATTCCAAAGTATTAGACAAATTTAAGTCCAAAAAAAAAATCCTATCAGAGTCGTCAAGGGCTCATTTTACTTTAACCTTGACTGGTGGAAAACGCCCCTTTTATCAACTGTTCATCGCTCCCAGGTCTTTTGGCTAGAAGGGCGATGACCATTCCAATTGTAATAAAATATCTTTGATCATGCATATTATGAGTTGACTCATTGTTGACAAATTGGTTTCTGCTAAGGATGTCCTAATTATGGTGAATGCTGAAAAAAATGCAGAATGTAATACGGCAATGCTTCACCACGAAGCCATACTCATCACTAATGAAGACTCTGTCGATCCATGAGCGCATAGAAATAGTTTGATGATACTGGAAACTAACTTTTCTTGATAAATTTTACTTGTTAAAAGGGAATATCATGAGTTTTTACGAGAAAAATGTAAAAATTCAAGATGATTCTAACCTCAATCTTGTCTGTAAACAGCTAAACGGCCGTAGAGAGAGACAGACCGATGATTTTAGACCTGTTTTCAACTGCGATAACTCAGGTGATATTTGTAGATTTGAGGCGTTTAAAAGGTCGGACCCCCCAATTTTGACGCTTTAGAGTCGATTTCCGGAGTGACCTTAGTGGTACCCGGCGTTTAAAAGGTCGAAAATTCGTTTTGAAATTTGAAAGTCGTTTCTTACGGGGAAACGCCATTAGTGCAACAAGGACAGCCAATTGTTTGGAACCCAAGACCGTAGTCGAAAGAATCAATGCTGGCTGTGACGTAAGACTAAATGAAACCATACACAGGGTACCATCACAGGAGACAAACTGTAGTGCCTCACTGAATACGAAAAAAAAAAAAAAAAATTCTAGATCATCTCCGTGAGGTTATGCAGGAATTCGTGATTCTTATCACGTCCAATGTTGCTAGTCAAGGAAAGCTTTCCTTGACATGATATAACCATTTTCTTTTCATTTTCTTAAGATTTCTGTCTTTTTGTTCTTTTTTTTTCTTTCTTTTTTTTTTCCCCCCTACATTTAGGGCAAGGAAAAAGCCTCAGACCCCACAGTACGTTTTAAACACATTAAATGCGGTCAACATACCACCTGCGATTTTTTAGTGGAAATGTCAACTAGAAGGCCTGCTGATTGAGGAACAACAAACCGCGAAATCTGTAGTTTGGCCATTTTTGAGAAAATGCGATTTTTCGCTTTTTGGCGGGAATTTTGGGTCAAGGCGCTGAAAAAGTCAAGTTAGGCTGTTTTTGTGGCTCGTAAATGCATATCCTACACATTGTTAATTGATCAAGTGCCAGTAGGTGGCTATTCGTGCATATTGCCCAAAATTCAAATCCCTAAATCCACGACTTTCAGGTTTTTGGGGGGTTTGTCAAGGAGAAATCCGAAAAAAGAGGGTTCACCCAGAACAAATTGCTTAACAAACTTTTCCTAGGTAAACGTCTTCAGTAAGTCATATTGAGCAACATACCAAAAGTTTACCACGGTTCGATTCCGGAACAACCCCCCCCCCATTGCCTAAATTTCAAAATGGCGGCCATAATAAGGCCTCTAACCCCCCCCCCCCATTGCCTAAATTTCAAAATGGCGGCCATAATAAGGCCTCTGTGAGTTCGATTTATTTTAACATACGCATACAGTGTCATGTGAGATGTCAATTCCTACGTAATTTTGGTCGTAGATTTTAGATGTGAAGTCAAAAAAGTCCCCCGATCAAAAGGGGGTACCCCAAATCCAAGATGGCAGCCAATTTTGAAAGGGTGGATTTTTAAAAAGTTCGCATGATAAGGGAAGTGGTGAGGTATCATTTCGAATGTAATTTTGGTCGTAGATTTCATTTATGAAGTCATAACAGCACTCAAGTCAAAGGGATTGCTCCAAATGCGAAGATGGCAGCCAGATTTGAAAGCCAGGAGGGTGAATTTTTGAAATGTTTACGTGACATCCCTAGTAAAAGTGAATCAACCTGACGTCCGGCTATGTTTCATAAACTACCCTGAGTCAGACTGATATCATCCTGAATTAGTCTGACCCAGCCTAGTATTTTTTTTTCTTTTACAAGCTCCCTCCTGGTACTAGAACTCAAGATGAGTCAGAGCCCTCCACGGCTTGTCTGAACCAACTTAAAATGAAAAGTCGATGACCATAAAAAGTCTCTTCGGGAGCTTGAAGTAGGATGTAAGTACTGTCATTTAAGCCAAAAACGAAAATAATCCGTCGGGCTCTTCGAAAATAAAAGCGATTTTTATGTTAACATGCATAGTTTTTTCGAAAAATTAAGTTTCCCTTATTCCCTAAGTTCGGGGAGGATGATAGCGACAAAAAAGTCAATATTACAACATTATATTCTTACGCCAGACTTTAGCTTTCTGACGAACCATCAATTTTTATTTTTGGACCTCTGGTTTGCGAGATAATCGATTTTTACCAAGACAACTTCATTTCGCTGCGGGTTCACCGACGTCGGTGGACCCTGGGGTGTCCCACTTTGAGGGTCACCTCAGAATTTTAATCATGGTACCCTCTAAATACTCCAACTTACTCAACTCCACTTATAAAAATAAGATTTAACAAAAGAAAAAAAAGATTTTAATTTTTTTTAAGGGTTGCACAAGGCCAAAAACCATCCCCCGGCCTTGGGCCACATTCTGCTTATTGCCCATTTTGACGAATTTTTTTCACAACATTAAAATTGGGCTAGAGCCTCAAAAATAAAAAAAAACTTGCTAAAAACACAAGAATTTCAAGATTTTGTATTTTTGTTATATGACGATTTTTTCGGCTGACAAAGTTACATTAAACATGAAACGTACCATTTACCGCATTTTGATACTTATTTTGACCAAAATTCTTACTTCACTTTATTTACCACCACCCCCCCCCTTATTTTTAACCGTAAATTCAGCGGTTCCTAAGTCGCGATAGGTGCATGGGATTTTTTTATACTTTTTTCCATTAAAGATTGTATTTTTATTCATATTCATACATTTCAAATATCGACGTAATGATTCATTGAAGTGGTACTTACCAATGAAATATGACGGAACATGAATAAAAATATGATCTTTAACTAGTCGTGATTAGCTCGCTTTGCGAGCTGACACGTCTAGCCGGGGAGTGCCCCTGGACCCCGGTTCTACGCTTCGCGACGAACTTGCGACTCGCTCCGCGATCCGCCACCGTCCCGCACAGTTTTTAACATTGATGAGGAGACAACATCTATGTCTTAATCTTCTTTTTCACCAAGTTTTACAAAAATTGATATTCTAGGAGTCCGGGCCGCGTTTTCGTGCGGGGCCGTCATCTTGGATTTGAAAATGTTGAAAATCTGACCAAAAATACGAGTTTTCGGTCGAAATACACCTCCTCATACCGATTTTCACAATAATCGATGGATCGGAAGCCAAGATAACAATTTAGACCACGTTCGCCATTTTTGATTTTGGAATTTTGAAAATCGGACCTAAAATTCTAATTTCCCGTCGAAATACACCTCCTATTACCGAATTTCACAAAAATCGATGGATCGGAAGCCAAGATAGCAATTTAGACCACGTTCGTCATATTGGATTTTTGAATTTTGAAAATCGGACCTTAAATTCTAATTTCCCGTCGAAATATACCCCCTAATACCTAATTTCACAAAAATCGATCGATATCAGGAAGCGATGTAGCATTTTAGGCCACGGCCGCCATCTTGGATTTTGAAATTTTGAAAATCTAATAAAAAATTCGAGTTCCCCGTCGAAAAGTACCCTGGATCTCCGAGTTTCACAAACATCGATGAAACAGGAGCCGACTTAGCATTTTAGGCCACGGCCGCCATCTTGGATTTGGAAATTTGGAAAATCTGACCAAAAATTCGAGTTTCTCGTCGAAAAATACCCCTGCATACAAAGTTTCACGAAAATCGATAAAACAGGAGCCGACTTAGCATTTTAGGCCACGACCGCCATCTTGGATTTGGAAATTTTGAAAATCTGACCAAAAATTCGAGTTTCTCGTCGAAAGATACCGGTGGATACCGAGTTTCACGAAAATCGATAGAACAGGAGCCGACTTAGCATTTTAGGCCCCGGCCGCCATCTTGGATTTGGAAATTTTGAAAATCTGACCAAAAATTCGAAATCCCCCGAGAAAAATACCCCCGCTTACCAATTTCCACAAACATTCGTCGAAAAATACCTCCTAAAACCTTAAATTTCGTCTATAAGGCAGTGACGTCACGCAACAGGATTGAACCTGTTCGGCGCGATGCGCGTAAACAACCGCGTATCTCCAAAGTAATACTAAATGGAGAAATAACTTTTCGCTCTTGCGGGCATCCGGGGCAGCGGATTTGAATGGGAATAATTTTAATCAACTCCTCATTACAATAGCTAAGCGTGTACCAATTTTAAAGGAAATCACCTTGGCCAATTTTTATCTAGGGGGGGCAGAGTGAGTGGGAACAGCAGCTTTATATAGAGTAATAATGGAGAAAAGTATAAAAAAATCATATGCACCTGTCGCGACTTAGGAACCGCTGAATTTACGGTTAAAAATTAGGGGGGGGGGTGGTAAATAAAGTGAAGTAAGAATTTTGGTCAAAATAAGTATCAAAATGCGATAAATGGTACGTTTCATGTTTAATTTAACTTTGTCAGCCGAAAAAATCGTCATAAAACAAAAATACAAAATCTTGAAATTCTTGCGTTTTTAGCAAGTTTTGAGGGTTTATAGCAAAAAACTGGAACGCATGATGACGTCAACAATAATTTTTCCTTAAAATACCCTAACATATGCTCTCACTGTGAAATTTTGAGGCTCTAGCCCAATTTTAATGTTGTGAAAAAAATTCGTCAAAATGGGCAATAAGCAGAATGTGGCCCAAGGCCGGGGGTTGGTTTTTGGCCTTGTGCAACCCTTAAAAAAATTAAAATCTTTTTTTTCTTTTGTATTTTTATAAGTGTAGGTATAGGTAAGGTGTAGGATAAGGTAAGAATGCAGATCTATGTACTTATTGCAGAAAAATATTACTTGAGAGTATTTAATTAACTCCAGGCTGTCAATTAAAATAACAATTAAATCGAGAACTCACTTCCTGTTCCTGCTCTGACGAGAAATTTTGAGGATAGCAATGCAGATGGCGCCAAAGCGACTTCCTGACCAGTGGGACCTGCTTCTTGAGATGATGACTCTATAGGTAGGGCTGAAATATTGGATCCATTTTCAAGAGCAGGGAGAGCTGGTGTCCGCAAAAGATTATCATACATAATTCTCTCCCAATCATCATCAGCTATAAAAGAATATTATTTATGAAAGACCATTGGAAATATTACTTGCCAAACTTTTCCCAACTTAAAATCAGTTAAAAATGAGGAAAAATTATAATCTTCCTATTTCTTAGCATGCCAAGAAATGTTAGATACTATCAGTTAAAGTTATTCCATGGATGTGATACCGTTTAACATGCCAGTGTAACCAGTATGTGAGCACCTTATGACCGATTCTATTTTTGCCAATTGGGCGACCTGCTGATTAGCTGCTTAGCTACTGAGGAGAGTGCGGAGCGAAGATTTATTATCACAAACTTCCTGCCACCATGTCTTTCAAGAGAAGACCTTGGAACTTTCCATAGACATAAGAATCGTTTTTTGTGTATTTTCTGGAAGAAATACACTATTCAGATTTCACACGGCTTTTTTCAGCCCATTCTTTCCATGTATTGAAACTGTTAACAATTGCTGGACTTCTTTTGATAGCCAATTTATTTTTTCGATCCTCATAGGAAACTAACTATGTCCATATTTTCCTCTCGGAAAATCCTGTTATCTCTGGAGAAAGCGTGACTACAGGGAAGGCCTATCAGATAAGATACGTAATAAGATTGGTAGATTTGATTAGCCCCCTTCAGCTACTTATTTTTAGTTGATGGTATGATAAGGTCTTTCGTGTTTTACCAGAGGAGCAAAAATATCCTAAATCTGTCCGTTTTTAAAAGTAGCGCTTTTGCCTCAAAACCAATCTTCCAGGTTGTCTGCCTGAAAAATGTCCGATTTCAAGGCAAAATCTGCGTTTCACCTGATTCTCTGAAAGTAATGAACAAAGAGTAAGAGATAAATAATATAAAAGTGACAAAAAGTCACAACTTTTGGAAATGGCCTCACAGATTAAGATTTGCGTTTCGTCTACCACATTTGGAAGATCAAGATATCAGGCAATTTCTGCAGTTTTGTATTTTTCCTCTGCGAAACGTGTTGGATGTTTCCCAGGATATAGATTTTTAACGGTTAAAAAGCAGTACAAGTAAAATGAAATAATCCCCAAATAATGAAATCAATTTTGGAAGGAGTGAATTGATATGGCATAACATTGTGATGAAAAAGTATCAACATTAAGGGGGTACTACGGTCTAGAAAACTTTTTCTCCCCTTCAAGTCCTATCAACTTGAAACTTTTGCTATGGGTAGGTACATGTAAAACTAAGATTTCCCCAAAAATTGTGCTAAGCGGATTGCATACCCTGCCCCTTAATACACAATTAAGTGATTTTGAAGAGGCATCTTGTGGCAATCATTTCTCGGACTGAGCCGAGCTAGAGACCTGCAATTCGTTTCAAAGTACCAAGAAATGCTCCTGTTATTATTATAGCGCTCGATAGAGGCGCGGACGGCAATAAAGAAGAAAACCTTAAAACTGACAGACAAGTAACAATACAGAGTTAAGAGTATGATTAGATTTATCACTTAATATTGAAGGCTTCAGATGTACACTTACAATACTGGCCTCGCCAGAGTGTATAAATACAAAAATCAACTTAATATCGCATTTTTTGGGCCAAAATGTTCAGTTAAGCGGGCAAAGCTCTTTCACGGCTCAACAAAACCCTTTAACACCATATATGAATCGATGCGTAATGGATTCCCATTGTGCTTTTTCGCAATTAGAACTTTCAAAAGTTTCCCTGTAAAAAGTTATTTGCTTTGCAAAATTTTGAAGGATCGGGAGCATCGATGTATCGATCAATCGAAATCTTTTAACTTGATCTCTAATGAAATATCAATCAATCGATAGTAATCGATTTCAATTCGACCTATGACTGGTTCCATGCCGGTCCGTCGTCGTTCCTCTTTGTTGTTTCGTTCCTCCTTCTTTTTGTTCAAAAACAAAAAGTCAACAAAAATGCATGGCGATTAAAGATAAATGCCGATGTAAGCTTGCTTCGATGTGATTATGGATGCTTTTAAAATTTATTAATGAGGTCAACTGAATAATCTGCTGCAGACGGATCAGATTACCCTAAATGATGAACCAAAGAGAAACAAAGTAGAATACTTCTCATGAAAACTTTCAAGGTAAGTTGTAAACAAATATCTTAGAAGAACTCTTATTTATTTAATCAGTTCTTCTCATCTCCCTAGGTACTTACTAAGTATTTATCCCTAAATTAATTCAAATATCATAGCCATGTGATATTGTCTATTGGGTACCTTCAAAGTTCCTGGTTTGCAAAGATACCTACAGCTTCGGCGGTAAATGTCGATCGGAAGATTATAGCCAATTGTATTCAGCCCTATGTATTGAAATTGGAATTAAGGAGATCAGAAATACATTCTATGTGCACATCTTTCAATCTAATTTGGTTCATCAAACCAACTAGATACACCCAGTCATGGTTGCATGAACTAATAAATATTTGACGCATTTTCAGTCAACATGACTTATGCAGGTTGTTATAACTGTTACAAAAGACTTTAGGAAGGTCCTAAAAAGTGGTCACAAAAGTACGTAGGTTTATAAGTGATTGTGTAATTTAGACTGAATCTGTCATAAAATTTTTTGTGTGAGATTTTAATTTCACTAAATTAATATTCCTCAATAATAAATGTCTGTCACTCGTGATTTTAAAGTGGGACCAGTTAGAAATATAAACACAAAAACAAACAGAAAAAAAGAGAGAAAACGCCTTCAATTTGACTGCACGCAATCCTATATCGCACGAAAGCAGCACTAATTGAAGTTTCCAACTGAAGCCACTTACAGGAGTTCAGGGATCGCTTTGTGATAGTAAATCTAAGAAATCTGCACTGTGAGATCGTGGATGGCGTTATTATTTTCTGAGAAAATTGATTATACTTTTCTGGTAGATTTAAGTAAAATATCTGATGAAAAATGAAGTGATATCCCACAAAAAAACCCTTGGGAGGGTGCCATTCAGACAGCAATAAACCAGAGAACTTGACCGTCCTGATTTTACAGACAAACATATATGATATGAGAAATCGGGACGGCAATTAATTCTAGGGTTTGTCTCATGCTGGTAGGCCAGCCATTTTTCTAAAAATAAATAAATAAAAAAATAAAAAAATAAAAAACAGGAAAAAATAAAAAAATTGCCGTCATGCTGCAGACATGTTTGACAAATCACTTTAGCATTGGGTACCTATCATTTCTATGATGGGTACCTATTGGAATCTGCTTTTGATTTAGCAGAAGTCAAAATATTCACTTATAGTTGATAAAATTGCAGAAGTTGCTCCTTTTTTACCTCCTACGTTAATTACCGTTTTTAAGTAAACAGTAAGTGCAATTTAACCAAAAATCTATACAGTTCTTTATAAGACCAAATGGACAAAATTACCAAATTTGAATAGGCTAACGACAAATCTAACGATAGTTATCGTGAACGAAAGAATTGACAACATAGGTTGGGTAACTATTATAGGTGGGATATGTTTGTCTGTAAAATCGGGACGGTCAAGTTCTCTGGTTTATTGCCGTCCGAATGGCACCCTCCCAAGGGTTTCTTTGTGGGATCTAATAGAGCCGAATTCATCCATTTTTGACTAAAAGTATTTTTTTAAAGATTTGTATAAAAACATGATTTTTTTCAAAGTTTTTTTTTTTTGTTTTTGTTTGTTAAACTAATAAATGATCAATGAGGGAAATGAAAATTTCGGCTCTGTTAGACAATGGGGCATACATTTCTGGTCATTTTTTTAAAAAAACGCAGGTCTCTAACTCAATTAGGGCCTGAGAAACTGATTTTTCAGGAGAGCAATATCGGTAAATGTACGTGAAAAAGTGCAATGTGCAAGTGCATCATTCTGCAAGGGATCATCACTTTCATCGAATTTTTTCAAGTTTTTGTGATCATGATAATTACATAGTGGATACATCATCATCTCCTATTGACTCTCCTGTATAAAGTTAGTGAAAAAACGCAAAAACTACAAAAAAGAAAAAGAAAAAAAATGGACCATTTTTAGACCGGAGTATCCCCTTAGGAGCTTTGCATCATCTATACAGAATGTAATACATTAAGTTTCTCATAGCCTTCCACTGTCTAAAAGTAAAGACTTTATTACTATCCTCATCACGCTGGCATAAAATTAATTGCAACAAGCCTCACTGCATTTTCATCCCTGTGCTCTGATGCAATTTTCCCGATCCAGAGGAATGGTTGTATCACTTCAGCAGGGCTGTTAAGAGCACCAAATATTTCTGGCTTTGCATTATATTCACTCCCTGTTTATCACTTCTATTATTAATATATTATGATATAATCATACAAAGTGAGACATTTCATATTTTTCAGCTTTGGAACCAAGCAAAATAGATAGATTTATTTAGGACCTGTTGCATCACCGTTACCATAGAAATGCAGTTTTTTGACCATCTTTTCAGTGTGCATCAGAGTGGTAGCTTGAGTGGTTTTTGATTGTCCTTGCTTCGTACATTTTCTACTTTATCATCCCTTTGAAGTCAAGATATCCTCAGTCTCTTATGTTCAGTATTTTTCATTGCAGTATCTGTCATTAAACTACGTGTGTTCTGTAAGTCAATGGCATTATTTCTTATGGTATTATGGCACTAAAGCTCATGTTCTTAGTATGATATTGGAAGGGGAGATAACCTCATCTTTTTGGAATAAAACATGGAGAAACAGGACCTATTCCTTAGCAATCCAAGACTGTTCACCAAAGGACAACGCTAAAAAAAAAAACTTAAATTGCAGTTTAGGCGAACTGCTTGTTATGTTCTCCTTTTCTACCCAAGTAGCAGAGGTTGCAACAACTTGCAACAAAATCGTTGAATTCTTGCAACTAATAGATTGACGTGCGGATTGCCTACTCTTTCCCCCGAAGGAGCTATCATTGTTGGAACTTGTTGCAATTAAGTTGAAACATGTTCCAAATTCAATATCGTTCCCGGTCCTTACATTTGGCTAAAATTTGAAAATCACGGCCTTCTTCCCAAACTGGTAAGGACGTCACGTAACTGGTCATTACTTAATATAATAAATATAATATAGTAAATTATAATATAATATAATAAATCATAATATATTAAAATAAATTATAATATATTAAAATTATTTATAATGTATTAATAATATTATTCACTTTTCATTAATTTATATTATTTATTTATCTTATTTCGTTTTTAATAATTATTTATCCGTCCATATTTTATTTTATTTATTTCATGTGTTATTCGTACTCCTCTCTTTCAAATACTTGATCTACTTTATATTATTTTCGTATCCTTCATTGTGCAACTGAATGATGTACAGAATTACAGGAATGTCATTGCTTCTAATCATTGAACCAGATCTGGGGACGCTTATTAGTGCTAAATTAGCCATCTTTGCCATGCAAACGTCCGTGGCGGAGTGGCAGCGACACTCGAGCGATCACCGAACTTCAGCAACGTCGGGCGTAGTTAGTACTTCGATGGGTGACCGCTTGGGAACTCGGGCGCAGCGCAGCTTAATTCTGGCGAGCATTGGTTGTCGGGTTCTCTCAGCGGCACTTCTCTGGTGTCCGCGATGAAAATTATGCCTAAGAACGTGTAGCGCGCCTAAATTTAAGCATTTTGGCATTTTGGAACTTTTTTTTTCAGTGTGTGATATCATATTGGTATCATGTTGATATCATGGTGCTAACATGTTGATATCATATATGATAACAGGTTCCAATCACCCTGTTGCTACCGTGTTGGGCCAGACCAACTTGTTACCAACATGGTCATTTTTAGCAGGGATGATTTAAGCAACGTCGATAAGTTGCAAGATTCATGCAATTCAATTGCTATAAGTTGCGACTTTTCTTCCGATCAGATCGCCGAAAATCGGCACTTATCGACCAAATGTTGGCTGAGCGTTGCAACTAAGTTGCAACTTAGTTGCAACTTTTGACCAATAATGTTTCAACTTCTTGCAACTTTAACTTTGAAAAATGCTACTTGGGTAGGAGTAGCTTTATACTTCACTACACTCATCACAACAAAATTGGACGTCGTTTCGCATTAACGAACTAAAACTTCTGCCAAATCCGGAAAAACACCTATCTGCATAGAGAAACTAATGGCACATACGTTGTTTCTAAAATGAGCCAAAACTTGTGGTTCCTCATTGCAAATCACAATCAAATTGTACCAGCTTTTAGAGGAATTGACCAATTTGGCTTTCAAGACAACTGTTGTGGCCAACCGGTAAAACAACGAAAAAATCGAATTCCAATGACATTTTCAGGGGCTTGAACAGCATTACTATCTCCATCCTACATAGCCAGGGTAAACAAAAAACTTCTGATCTACCTATCAAGAGCATCAAGCAAGTCACTATCTCTACAATACCATCCTGGAGGTGCAGGGTTTTCTTCTAGCAATCCCTCGGCCTATAGCACATCAGTTTGACTGACTTATTGTAAAAAAACTTGAGAATCGGCCCAGGAAATAAATTTAAGTTATGTACATTTCCAATTCGTACGAAAGACAACCCCCCCCCCAATTTTCAGACAGTAAATTACATTGTTAACACAGAGAAACAGACATGATCCGTAAAAGAATCAGACGTATCTAGATTTCACCGCATCTGTTCTCCCTCCCCTGTTGAGATGGAGGTCTCTTTTCAAGATCTAAATATAAGATAAGACTTACTGTCGGAGCTTTCCAAGTAAAGAGGTTCAACCATTAACGTAACAGATCCAATGATAGTTCTAAGGTTGAGATGGAGGTCTCTTTTCAAGATCTAAATATAAGATAAGACTTACTGTCGGAGCTTTCCAAGTAAAGAGGTTCAACCATTAACGTAACAGATCCAATGATAGTTCTAAGGTTGTCAGACAGCCAATCTGAAATAAACCAATCTGCTAAATCTAAATCTTTGACATCACGTCTATCACAGGGAGCAGTAGAACAAACCTGAAAAAGAAAAAGCGAAATTCCATTGAAAATTCTGTGATAGGCCCGACTTACTACAGATGAGTTTTCACCGATATTACTGGTGACATGACACCAAAGACATTGAATAGAGTAGACCGTGCACTCCTATTTCCGCCGTGTCAGCTGAGCGCGGCCACTTCGGCGGGACTCCGTAATGGGCGGGTAGAATGAAAATTCGCGACTGAGCCCCACGTAGCACGAGCTGGCGTTCGGGCGTACCTGGAAAAATCAGTTGCACGCTCGGATTTTCGCGAATTACTCATTTTCACTTCATTTTTCGGCAAAATTTACAGGACCACATATTAAGAGCATGAAATTTACTATTTCTCTAAACAATTTTCGTTTCTTCATAGTCATTACTGACTAAGAAAATCGTTTCATGATTGAAAATATGAAGATAGTGACCTGCATATCAGACGGACGTTCATAATGCGCGCAGCTTGTAAAAATGATGGCGTTGATAAGAAGTAATTTTGTAAAAGGTACAAAAAGGATTTAAAATGAGGTCAATCATAAAAATCAAGCGTAAAAACGAGGAATCCTGTTATATATTGAACATAACAAGTAGCAAAAGCTACCTGCTGAGGGGGCGCCGCCCCCCCCAGACCCCCCCCCTTTCAAATTATATATGTGAGACTTTCAGTATCATAGAAGTCGTGCGGCGACATGCCGAATGAAATGCCACAATTAAAATTATTGGATCAGATGATGAGCTGATAAAAGCCTTACCCAGTAATTTGGGAACATTTCTGACACAGTTTGGTTGCTTTAACTATCACTTTGATTTGCGAAATACAAATCGTTTTCACTTCGTATGTAGTTAAATTTGATTTTGACTGACTTAGTTTCTGATGGATTCAAACTCATAATATACATTTAGGTTCCAGGGAAAGAAAAATGCAGATGAGCTACACTTCACATGAATATAGATTGATTAAAAATAAATAATCCGAAGAAGTGATGGAATAAATGATAATTGTTTACTACAGTAAATACTATACCTAGGATTCATAGGAATTTTAAATAAAATCCCACCCATCACTAAAATAACCCATATGTATATACTCGTGGTGCCTGCTCTCGGCTCGATTTCGCCGAATGGAATTCTTTATCATTGCGGTTGTCCTTGATGCGTGCGGGAGGAAATGAAGGCGCGCTCGCAGTAGCAAGAAGCAGACGCGCCAGGTTGCTTGCGACGCGTGAATGTAGCATAACCTCCACAGATTAACAAACCGTCGAGCAGCCACGCGAAAAGTCCAAAGACATAAAGACGGAGGGCTAAAAGCAAAAAATGAAGCTTCTTTTCAACCACCTCTACTATTGGCTAGAGGATTGGCGGCGAAATCGGGACAAGTTTGAGATTCAAATGTAGGGCGGGAACTAAATAAAATCGCGGAAACAAAGTAGTCTAAGTTGATTTTTGCCCAAATTCACTTGCCCACTCATATTTCTTTAACTCTAGGTTAGCTTTGGTCCGTCGTCGACCGATTAATTTCATTTGGGAGTAACGTTCATCTAGAACTGTAACGGCCTGTTTGAACCTGCAGAACCACCATGAGCAGAAGAAAAACTAACTTTATCTGAGATTACTGCCTATTACCGAGCAAAAGTAGGTGTGTTATATTAGGACGCAGTCCCAACTTTCTTAATATAATCGTTCCAGGCATTTAACACACGTTTAAAAGAAGAAATGAGGAAAAATCAAGAGGACAAGTTCAAATCAAATTTCCGTTTGCCGCCATGGATTCCCGCGCTCATTTACACACTCACACAAGCACCCAGCGCCAAACTAGGCTTCACCTTTTCCCCGTGCTTTTAGATACGAGCACTCCGTCTTTATGTCTTTGGAAAAGTCCTATACCTACATAGAGAAAAAAAAGGAGGTATTTGCATCTTGAGGTTTGTTTACACTGTAACGTAGGTCTGTACAACCTGGCCAGCGAAATCCGAAATTCGTACTATGAAAAATTGACCATAATTTCCGATTTTCCGAGGTGTAAAATACACAACTCAGCAGAAGGAAGAAAGAAAAATCGATTCGATATTTCTGGAGATAAATGTATCGATACGGACGATATATCAACGTTGAAATATCGATACAATATTTTGGTCTAAAATATCGATAGTCTGGTGGCGCGGAGCGTCTTTGGGGGGGGGGTGTTGGGCGCGTAGCGGCCAGTCGCAAGACGATAGAATATCGCACCCGAAGCCCGAACCCAAATTGAGCCTCATTCGAGCGGGTCTCAATGCGGGGCCCAAGGCTGCAATCGCGGCCGAGCGCCCCGAGCGGGCCTCACAGCGGCCCCGCTAGGCTAGCGGCCACCGACCCTCGGAAAAGTCATAAAAACGAATGACGCTGATCAATGTTCCCACAAAAATGACGCGGCGCAACGGCTGCGGCCACACCGGAGCGTGACTGTAAGAGGAGGAAGGGGGGAGGGGAGGGCCCCCTTCGGCCCTGGGCAGACCGACCCTGACGAGAGTAATAAAAACGAGCATTGGAGCCAAATTGGTCTGTTAGTTATTTAGGGATAGTGTCCTAGCCTAAGTTTATTTAAAAAACAATTAAATAAGAGGAAGGATTTCAACCCTGAAAAATGTGTTGAGACCACGGACAGCCTGTGACCCTGGGATCTTTGTCAGTTTTGGTGAGCACAGTTACAGAGATGGACCATTTTTTTTAGGGAGCGAACAAATCAAAATTTTGAGCCTTAAGTTGGTCGCAACCATATCCGGAAGTCGTTACAGTGACATTTTTGTGCAATATGCTTCTGTGGAAAGTGCAATACTTAATGAATACTTTTGACAAATCGTGTTTTATCCGGTTTGCGCTTCAAACGTGATTTATTTGTGGAGTGTCATACGTTCCTTTTTGAATTGAAAAACTCGTCAGATGCATTGGGTAATAAAGTACAGCATCTCTCATTTCTTAACGCAGGGGGCGGCAAATTTTGCAATTTTTTAAAATGTAGGTTTAAAAAAAATCGGATTCAGAAAAAAAAAAAATTACAAACGAGAAAGCGTCTTTCGGTGACACAAGAGACAGCACCTTTAATTAGTCGAGTTAAGAGAGAAACTAAACACGCAATTTGGCATGGAGCGGTGCAGCAGTGATGATGAGGACTTGAGATAAAAAGGAGAAGCCCTCAGCGCGGCGCACGGTGAATCGAGTCAATGAGAGAGGTCGGAAAAAATTTGGGAACTTAAAACGCTCATAACTCCGTTTATACAAGAATCTAATGTTCTGCAAGCTGTTCCACTCGTTTTCTCGTGATATTTTCTTCCAGTATCACCCCTTGAACTTTAAAATGTGACGAAATAAAAATCAACATTTGCAGTTTTTGTCAAAAATTTCATGTCCGACCCCTCTAATTGACTCAATCCACTGTGCGGCGGTCGGCGTGAAACGCATAGCGCCTACAAGACTGTAGGAATACTTCACGCATTGCGCCAAACACAGTGCGGTCAGCGCGGCGCGCCGGCGGAAGTTAAGATTATTAAACCACATTTATGTTTGTTCTTGCATAATTTTTACCTTCATTTCTTACAAATGGAAGGCCTTGTTCACACATATGTAGAAAGGTTTACGGAACTTAACTTTCACACAAAGTTCTGTGCGAACTTTTGCTAGTAGTGAGGGGCATAGTGTCCTTTCTTTTAATTTTTCTTGTTTTGCCGGTTGAAAATGCGGGTGTGATCCCTGCGAAACGTCCCGGGTTTCTTATTATATTTTATGTGTTTCTTTTTTTATTATTTGCGGCCTTAGTCCCGTTTTAAGTTGTTTCTCTGTTACTGTTTCGGGCCGATTAAGTTGTTTTTTATTGATGTTTCGAAACGAATGAGAAGGGGGCGGCAAAATACAGGTGACCCATAGGCAGCAAGTAGGTAATTCCGGCCCATGGGCGGCAAGTAGGTAAATCCGGCCCTGTTTTTTAAATGAATTTCGAGTCAAATTTACGTGAGAAATTGATTTACCAAGATTATTTTTCTTAATTAAAATTAACTTTCTTTTTAATACAGTTTTTACGTAAATACATTTGTTCTTAATTTCCAATACTTTTTACGAAATTTTTATGTTAATTTAATTAACATGTAAATTTGACTTCCTTTTCCGACTTTTTTCTTTTTTCGCGTTTTTCTGTGACTTTTAACAATTTTAGACTTTCTTTCCTTACTCTAGTAAGGATCTGGTTGTCAGAATCTATCCTGAACGACAACTTACATTCTTGGAAAATAAAGCTTTAACTGTTCCTGACCATTTTTTACCATCCAAACTCACTAGAACACATTGTATAGGTATGTGAAAAATTTGAAGAGCATCGCTGTCAAAAGCTAAGTTCTCCTTCAATTTAGCTCTTTTTGTATGGTCTATGGGTAAGGACAAAACTAACTGTTTTTGCTAAACGCTTACTGTTTTTTATTCATAAAATTTGAAAGTCTCAATGAAAGCAAAGCTATGTCCAATCACAGCTAGGTATTTTTATTTTGAAACTGCACATCCCAACTTCTCCCACTTTTTCAGCCGAATTATTTTTTTTTTGGGCTAGATTTTGGTTGGTGCAGTAATGCTGATGGTTATTTTTAGAAGACTATGATGGTGAAACCTAAAGTTTCCAATGATATTTTATCAGCATAGTAAACTCAACCACGACTTCAATCATAAATAATTCCATTTAGCAAAATCAAGCTGAAAGGCACAAGTAAGGGTTCATGAAAGTTGAAGTCATAGCTCAACATTATAGGGTGGGTTCAAGTAACTTTTAACGTGTTTAAGACTTTTTTTCTTACCGTAGACCCTGAAAAACCACTTAAATTCAAGGAAAATAAAGGCTTAAATGTTCATACCCATTTTTAAATGTCAGAACTCACTAGACCATATTATATTCATGATAAATTTGAAGAATATCGCTGTGGAAAGTTGAGTTTTCCGTAGATTTAGCACTTTCCGTATGGTCTTTAAGGTAATGACAAAAAGTGCTAAATTGAAGGAGAACTCAACTTTTGACAGCGATATTCTTTAAATTCATCATGAATATAATGTGGTCTAGTGAGTTCCGACATTTAAAAAATCGTTATGAACATTGAAAACTTTTAGTTCGATGAATTGAAGTTGTCCCTTAGGGTCCATTAGCGCTAAGGAAAAAAATTCTAAAACTTGTTTGAGCCAACCCTATAATATTCTCCCACAGGATTCACTTTCAGACAGTAATAATTAATCAACATAAACACCAACCATTACTGATAAATCATCAAAGATCCTATTGGGCGAAATTCAGCCAAAAAGCACCAGTTTGGAGTCTGGACATTTTGGCCACCATTGGTTGCTTATTTACGCTATTAAACTGTGACTCGATGATAAAGAATGCCATAGGGCGACATTCAGCCGAAAGGCACCTGTGTGGGTTCTTTACATTATGGTCACAGTTGATTACTAAACGCTACCAAATCATGGCTAAATGATCAGAAATTCCATTTGGCGACACATGTTAACACTCTTTGAACATCTGAGGTATGAGTTCTGGAAATTTTGGCTATACTTGGTTGCTAAACGCTACTTAACAGTAAATGTTCAACAGTGACTTGATGATAAAGAATGCCATAGGGCGACATTCCGCCGAAAGGCACCTGTGTGGGTTCTTTACATTATGGTCACAGTTGATTGCTAAACGCTACCAAACCATGGCTAAATGATCAGAAATTCCATTTGGCATAATGGAGATGTTGCATGTGTGAGGAATTTGCGATTTAACTATTAAATCTTGTGTAAAAGGTCACGAGAAACACAATGGTGCCACTGGTTTTCTCTGAAATCATCTCCTAAGCTTAAAAAAAAGCACTTAAGTTGAGGCCAAAATGGAGGGAATATCCCACCCTACCCTGAGAGTCCAAGTCTAGATCAAGACCAACTCTCCATGCAGAGATAGGGAGCTAATACATTGACAGGGCTACCAATTTATCTGGGGACTCCAAAACTGAAAACATGGCAACCCTGCTAATGTATTTGCTCCCTATCTTTGCATGGAGAGTTTGTCTTCATGTAGACGTGGACTCTCAGGGTAGGGTGGGATACCCCCTCAATTTTGGCCTCAACTTGAGAGCTTTTTTTGAGCTTGGGAGATGATTTCAGAGAAAACCAGTGGCACCATCGTGTTCCTCGCGAACTTTTATACAAGAATCAACAGGCAAATTGCAAATACCTCGCACATGTAACATCTCCATTGGGCCAAAATGCACCGATATCAATACTTCATATGTTACTTGGTTCCTCGAAAATTCTCCTCTTGGACTTAGCCTAAAAGTGTGAACATTTTTTAGCCTCTGGCGAAACCTAGAGTCTATACGGCTTCGCCGCACGACTAAAAAGGCATATAAAAGTTACGCGAGAGTTACTTAGAGCTATTGTCCATCTTGGTCTATGAGAAGGAATTGATGGAAAGCTGAAAAAAGGGGGCAACGATTTTGGCTGTTTCAAAGTACCGTGATTTAAGATTATTCCACTGAAAAAGGTTATGTTCAAGCATTACTATCAAATTAATTTGCGAGTCGCAACTTAATGTTACTTAAGCTGCTCAAGAATTTCAAAATCAATGCTTCAGTCACATGTTTGTGACTGGCGATCGTGGATACTGTTTAATTTCAAAAAGTATGAGTATGTAATTGTTCTTAATTCCTTTGCATTTTTAGGCGGCTCTGTGATTAAGTCGCTGCGCTCGAGAAGGGCATCTCTTAGTAACGATGTTCCAGAATCTATGTCGCTCATATTTGTTTAGTAGAGAGGTTCCCAACGGTGTCAATTTTCCAGGATTTTTTCCACAGAATATTGCAGAATCATGAAAAATAACTCAGTAGAAATTTCAACGAAATCCATGCATTCCTTTCACTGATGAAATATTAGTAGAGATTTTGAATCACCGCAATCAAGATGTGCCATTCTTGCACCCAGTGCCTCAATTTTTCTGCACAGTGCAGTGCAGTGGATTCTATGAAATGAGTTTTTACAATGCCCTTACTTTCCTCTATAAAATTAAAAAAACATAGCACTTACGCTATGCTTTCAGCAAAATACTGGGGGCATACGATACATTAGGTGTTCAAGATGATCCAAAAGTATGAAACTGATCAAAGAACCACCATCACCATCAAAGAACTGATTTATGTAAGGCTTTATAAAATCCTCGTTAGCATGCATTTCACACACACATCAGCTGAAAATATTCACACAAATCTATTAATAATTAAACATTTTGAAGCCAAAACCGTACCAACTTCATATACCCGCAATGTTTGTTAACCTCGAGCTGGGGCTCACTACCTCACCGGTGCCATTTCGTTGTTCCCGCACTCATCGGTCGGTGCGCCATGCAAATGGAGGAGAGGTGGACACCTCTCAATTTTACAGTACATGGTCTAATCTATTCAATGTCTTTGCATGACATGAAAGATGAAAAGGATGATTTATAAAATAACTCTCCTTCATTTCCTCTCAATCGCATTCAAGCTGAAAACCATTAATTAATACCACTGAAAAAATACGCATCATACTTACTACGCTCATGCAGAAACTTCCAGACTTTTCTCTAAAGTTTTGGAATTTTCCTGGGTTTAAGGAAGCTCTCAAATCTTTAAAATGTTCCTAACAATTTTGGAATTTTTTTGGAGGAGAGTACAATGTTGATTTTTCCATCAGAAAAAACACCGATGATGCATATACGATTTGAGAGGTTTAAAATTACCTGTCCATACTGTTGAGTGGGATCCACAACACTTAGTGCCATTTCTAGCAGGTAAACAATTAATGCCATCACATTTTCTGAAATTGTGGACTGGTGGACTGCTTTGTACAGACCAATCCATATTACAGCATGAAATATTTTTGTGGTTAAAATCCTGCGAGGATCTTTGTAGGCCTCTAAAACAGGCCCAGGCGGTCTAAAAGGAGGCCAGAGTTTATTGTCAAGGGTCGGCTTCCCTTGCTGCTGATTCTTCTGTGTGACATACTCAGTAAACCTATCTAATGATGTTTGATATTCTGGCCGATGGACAGCTCTGAGAAGAATATGAATTGGATCATACAGTTCTTCCCAAACTCTGCCTTTTGGGATGTACATCCCTTGTTGCATGTTGCCACTGGCTTCAAAATTTGGAGCTCTATAGTCTGCAACCTGTAAAACACACACATATATAAAAATAACATCCGCAATTAATTTAAAGGATTGAATACATTCAACACTGAATTTTTAAAGCATTCTACGCAGTGCATCTTGAATAAAAAAAAAATCAGAAAATGTATCGAGCCATGGTGTAAGATGGTGAGAAAGCATATTCAGAAGTAAGGATCTTGGATTATTGATCAAATATATCAACTGACATGAACAAACCTTTCAAATGACGGTAGGCAAGTATGTTTGGAGGATGAGTGTGAAATTACTTTGAAGAATTTTAGCTTCAACCAAACATCACTCGCCTCTTTGGTGAGTGTTTGTGCCTATTGTGCTGACCAAACAATGAGCCTACACAGACAGTGCCCGCTTATATTCTGCGTGACTTGACAGACATATGTTTTGACAAGGGGAAGAGGGAGGGTATAGGTCAGTGGCACCCTCTTTTATCATTTATTTTCGTTCACTAAGCACAAGGAATTTTTTCAAATTTTCTTAACTTTGGGGGGCAAGGAAACTCAGTTTTGAAAATGGCAAAAATGAGACCCTTCCAAAACGCTATTTTCTGCCGGCTCTGGTGACGTAGCCGGACGGGCGAAACCTGATTGGCTGCACTTAGCTGGAGGCATTGCCTTGCTACGGCAACTTGACTGTCAGCTTTTAATTGCTCAGATTTTGATTAGTCTTTTCTTCCCTTCAAAACAACTTTTTTTTAAACTTCTAAAAGAATTTTTTGGTTTTTTCACAAAATTTTACTGATAACAAACTATATTACAACTCTGTAAAAATTCCTTGCCACTGCCCTCTTGTCTTAAACCAAGAAGAAAAAGTATTGTTCACTGCTGAAAGACTCAAAATTGGCTTATTAATATTCTGCTTCACAAACATTCCAATTTGGTCCCCTGAAATTGGTTTAAGTTTAAGCTCTGCTGGAAATTTCCAGAGAAAAAGATGAAAAAATGTATTTCTGGTGCTTAGTTCCGGATGATACGGACTTAAAAATGAGTTCAATATGCAAATTTTTTGGATAATTGAGTGAGAGGGGTTTGGATGCACTAGGAGCCTAAACTTATAGATGGGCTAGAGGCAAGAACTTTCAAAGAGTGGAAGAAAGAGATCTATAAAACTAGACACAGTGCACAAATAAGGTCTTCCAATTACCTCAGCTAAAATTGCTTCAAAATCCCGGCTCTGATCAGTGCCACATCTTTCTGGCATCAACTCCATTAACTGAGAATGAGTAGTATCGCCTTTGCACAAAAGTGTGACCATTTCAAGCTGTGAGAGCTGCATCTGACAAGTTCCAAGGTTTGTTCTTATACTAATTAGAGAAGCTATGAAAATTAAAAAACTCTCAAACATAAGACTATCAATTTCAGTTGAATCACTACTCGAAGTGGACGTGAAGCTAAAACATTCCTGAATATGAAACCTGCAACAAAGAAAAGAGGAAGGCCTTGAAAGTCAAAGATAAGTCACAACATGGATTTCTTCAGAAAGAACTACATCTAAACCACTAGTTTGATTACATTCAATTATCAGTCAAATCTTTATCAGAAAATTCCATATGACTCAATTAAGGAAAGGAGATGATATAACTATATCAATTGTGTAGTCAACAAAATTTTTGAGACCTGCACCAGAAAACAGACCAATTAAAAATACTTGAACTCACTTGCAAGTAAAGTTTTACTAGTGGACACGTTTAGCCGCTCTCCCTCCAGCATCCTTGGTGCAACTCTCGACTTAGGTTAAGTCGAGTCATGCTGAGGATACAGGAGGGAGAGCCGGCGAAATGTGCCTGCTAGTAAAAGTTTTACGTGCAAGTGAGTTTAAGTATTTTTTATTGTTCAAATGTGTAGTGTTTGACCATGTGGCGGCTGCTAAACATGACAAAAAACAGCAGGCTGATTTCCGAAATTTTGTGTTTGACAACTGATTAAAACAAGAAAAAGGTGAAATTGAGTTAAATGATTAGTTGAATATGTCCATTGGGTGATCAAGAACTTCAAGGGGAGCCCTTTATCAGGCCAAATAACGAGTGGTTGTCAGCACGCAAGAAGGTATCTTTAGTTAGTCAATACTACAGCCCCAGAAAAGGGTCCCGATGATGTACTTGATTGCCTGAACGACATAGTCAACCAACCATATTACATAAAACACTATAGTCTTGTGTGGTCTAGTCAGCAAACACAAAATGTCAATAACCAGCCTGCTACAGCATTGAGATGATGTCAACTCTAATACTGAATAATATTCCTTCGCATCAAAACAATACAGCTCCTGTAATAAATTGCTGTTTCGACTGCTAGAAATCTTACTTATCAATCACTGTTTGCATAAAAACATCAGTTGGAAGTTGCATTGCACATATTTGAAGAAGGTAAAGATCAGCATCCACCATTGAGTTGCAAAAGTTGCACTGTATGTACGTCATAGCTTGTCCTTTGATTTGCAGACCGTTTCTCACCCACAGTCCATTGATGATTTCATAAAAGGCAACCTGCGGATGAAGAGTAAATTATTGCATTAAAATGATGAAATTATGAGTAAAACTTAAGGAAATGATTATTATAATAAAGACTAGCTGCTTCAGCTTGCTACACTCGCTTGCGCCGCTAGCCGGTGGCTTCGCCCCCTAGACCCCCCGTCACTCGCTCCGCGAGTGAATGTTTTGCTACTACAAGTAATTATCTTGTACTAGTAATACTAGTAATTCTCTTTTCCTACCTCACATACTATATTGTATCAATGCCTGGTCAACTTGCAATAATAAAAAGATCGAGAAATTATTCATAACTCAAAAAAAAGCTATTAGAACTATGCTTAAATTAAAAATAAATTATTAAAAATTAATATTAATTAAAATAATAAAGCCTACAGAATCTTGCAAGGAACATTTTAAAAAATTACAAATCTTAACTGTTCCGGCATTGATCATATACTCATCTTTGAAATTATACAACAACAAGAAACTACAGGAATCGAGAGTGGTGCACAACCACAACACCAGAAACAGAACAGAAAGTCTAATCATAAAAATTAATAAAACAGCGGCCCGAGGCCATAACTTTTTCTGTAAACTACCACCAAACATAAGGAAAAAAATTAAAGATGAGCCCCGAAGCCACAATGCCCTGGTCAGACAATATCTACTTGAGCAATGTCCCTATTCCATCAACAAGTTTATAAATGGGACAGGTTGAAATCATTGTCGTTTTTTTTTTATATACATATATTTATTCTTGTTTTTTGTTAGAAAAATTCGACGCATTTGTAGAAGCCATGTGCAAGCCAAACAACAAATAAAGATATTATTATTATTATTAGTGGACTTCCTGGAGGCAAAATGATAAATTCAAAAACAAAGAATAAAAAACTAAACATGATAACCACCTACTTCTAGAAAAAGAAACATCCTTGAAAAATAAAAAACACTCCTGTAAAAGAAAATCAAGATACTTTGTGAAAATTTAACAGTGCAAAAGGGTGAAGATTAATCACTGATTCTCTTGGAAGAATACATAAGCTGCTGTAAAAAAGTTAATTATTAATAAAACCTGTGCTGCCGTAAAACGGAAAATAATCCCGTGAAAATACACATCAAAATTAAGTAATTTTCATGTAAAAAAACTGAAGACAAAATCAAGAAAGCGAAACTCTAGACGCACTGATAAGAAACATGGACAAACCGAGAACTCATTACGAGCAATGCGACGAAGGAAATGCGTAGCAGGTGTTCCGAGTCGGACAGCATAAGGAAGGGAGTGATACTGCCCTAGGACCCATGCCAGGGTAGAAGGCTGACACGTGTTGTGAGCAGGTAGGGATGGGTTTACGTGGAGAGGGAAATGGAAAATCAGAGGGTGGGAGGTCCCCCAACCATATGACTCGTCCAGCGTCAAAAAAGCAAATATGTCGTTATCAAATCGAGCTAACTTTTGCAACATCGGTCGCGCAAATCAAAAAACCAAGGGGTGCTGACACATCTACAGCCTAAGAGCTTTCATTTAAAACAAATCCGAGGAAAATCGGTCCAGTAGTTTCCGAGATCGAATTAGGACAAACTGTCCAGCGGCAAAAAGGGAAATATGTCGGTATCAAATCGAGGTAAATTTTGCAACATCGGTCGTGCAAATCGAAAAACCAAGGAGTGCCTGCACATTTACAGCCTAAGAGCTTCCATTTAAAACAAATCCGAGGAAAATCGGTCCAGTAGTTTCCGAGATCGAATTAGGACAAACCGTCCAAAGTGAAGGAGGACAAAAAAAGCCTTAGGGTATTAAATATATAGATGTTGCTCATAGATAAAATAAGATCGACAAAAATTACCTGAACCCTCAGAGGGTGCATCATGATTAGATGTAGCATATCTAAAGGTGGCAAGACTTCAGACAGCGGCACCCCTTGGACATTTACTGCTTGACACATGAAGACTGACAGGTGTCTGTGAAGAGGGAGATGAAAAGACACTTGGCGAGCATCATTCTGGAAAAACAAATGAATCATAAATTATGAAATTCTCACACTAGATGTGATGAAGAATACAGTGATTGCGCTGTAATATCTTCCTATAAAATACGAAACAAATTTTTGGTTGCATTTAAAATCGCAATTAAGGCATAACTTACATTCTGGGCTAAAGTCAAAACCAATTATGTGTTCCATTCACTCGCTGCTCTTCCTTTTACTACGAAAGTATAATACTTTGATCACTTAGTGAGGTAGAGGGGGAAATTAATACTTCCAAATAAAGACTTTTTGGGAAAAGTTTCAAGGATTTTTTTCCCATACTTGCAGTTTTCTCCCCGTATCAAAAGGGTTGTCAAGCCTGCACAAGCAATGATGAGGAGAAAAGGGAATCTCAAATGAAAATTGGCACCGAAGTAATGCCCATTGGCAGTTCCAGAGTGTCAACAGTTCAACACCTGGTTGACGAGTAGTAGTAAGAACATACATAGTTATAAGTCAAATTTTTTGTGAATCTGCCTGTACATATAAGAACTGAATAAATTTATATATATATATATATATTTAAAAAAAGATTGAGGCTCTCACCAATTTCAGAACTTGAATTTAACGAGGCAAAAGAAATAAAAACTGGGTTAACTGGATTGAAGCTGCGAAGGGTCTGATCTTATTTTTGCTTCAGCTGTTTCTGATGGAATGTGGCACAAATGAAGCACCAATTTCGGAAACGTAGCCAACCCCCCTCCCCCCCTCCACCTTTAACTTCTTGAAGAGGCCTGAGAGTAGGAGTTCTTCAGAATGAGACCATGAAATTAGGATTCTTCAGTGTTGATGAACCAAAAAGCAGTCCATATCTGAAAATCCTTAGTTGTTTTTGCGGCAAAATATTATATCGCAAAGAGACAATCAGCTTTTGGTACAGAATGAGCCGAGTTTAAACTTTTGGGTGTTCAGTAAATTTCAAATCTGACCTGCTTTTAGCATATTATAATTAAACTTCAATTTGGAACCCTGAATTTAAGGGTTGCGACCTCTTTTAAAGCCTTGGGGAGACCTAAAGAGCCTTTATCACTATGAAACCTGAGTTCCATGAGATCAATTCCCTGCGCAACTTTCCCTCTGACCCCCCCCCCCCCANAATTTCTAAGTTGGTAAGAGCTAAGGAAACCAAGATAAAAGCTTGAAGCAGATGGATTACTCTGAACAAGTTGATGGGTGTGGGAAAAACTGGTTTTGAAACCAAAAAATACCTACCAAGTTTGGATGTGACATTCCGATGGCATCAAACCAGTCTTGTAAAGCAGTCAAACAATTGTCAAGGACACGCTTGGTGTAACTGACAGTGGAGCTGTCGTGCAAATGAGAGACAAGTGCCCACATCGGATAGGCGCTTGCTTCCAGCTCAGCAGAGAAAGCAGCATAGTAAGTATTTGGTTCAAACTCAACATGCTGTGACATTTCTTGCTGATTCACATTCATCCCTGGGGTAAAAATTAAGCTTAGATTAGTAATTTAAAGCAATTTCGAAATTTTTCCACGCCAGAGAATATAACTATAAAACAAAGTTCAATGCTCGGGAGTTCTAAGTGAATTATGGCAGGATTGATTTGCAATAGTAACATAACGTTCTTTTCAATGGTGAATATATCTTGAGCATGTTCTCAGTGAAAAAACTGTGCTTCTGGCCGGATTTAAAACGAAGATTGAGTGCACCAGTAGTAGGAAATAAAGAACTCTCATTGCATGGGAAGGGTTATGAAAGGTTTCCAGATAACATCAGAGTGTTTTGGTATGGTGAATATTTTGAAAGGAATAAAGAAAATATTGCCACTTCTTTTTCTATCTTTTTTTGCAATTGTTGCCATTTTATTATCTTCTTTTCGGGGAGTATTTGTTAATTTGTAATAATGTAAACCCAGAACGAATCATTCTTTTGCAGAGAGAGGGTGTTTAGGGTTCTAAACAGGCAGAAAAAAAAATTCACCGAAAAATTCCACCAGGAACTCTTTCAAATCACAATTCTTTTTAAGATGACTGCCGAACACGATTTTCTGATGGTCCATTCAGAAGGTTTTTCCATTACAATTCAAAAACCAAGCATGCCAACAGAAAAAATGCATGAAATCACTTTTAGAGATCCTATAGTTCTGTTTGAGAATAAAGAGGGTGATCGTAAAGTCCCTTCCACCCCCTTTAACTTTTTACCTAATTGAGATAAAGATTTGAAACTTGGGGGATATTCCTAGGTCAAAGGGAGCTACTTTTTGGCCCCCCTGGGGGGGGGGGCAACGGCCCCCAACTTTTAATTTTCAAATGGGAAGACCCCCTTTGTGACAGCTCGTTCGAAAGAGCTTAAAAAAAGAAAACTTTTTGACCCGAGGTCAATATCTCAAACCGTTTCAAAATGGCGGCCGGTTAAAGTTCAAAATGGCCAAAAATTCACACCCGTTATTTGTCGATGGATTTGCGCAGAAATCGGTATGTAGGGGTATTTGACACGAGAAAAACGAATTTGTCGTTAGATTTTCAAAAAACCGAAATTTCCAAGATGGCCGCCGGTTAAAGTTCAAAATGACCAAAAATTAATTTTTTTTCGAAATCTAAGTTCAAATTTGTTTATATTATGCCAAAATACTCTCAAATTCCAAGTTTTAGGCAAATCCATCAGGAACAAACCGAGGTGAAAATTTTTGGCCATTTTAAACTTTAACCGGCGGCCATTTTGGAAATTTTGGTTTTTTTTAAAATCTGACGTCAAATTCGTTTTTCTCGTGTCAAATACCCCTGGGTACCGATTTTCGCGCAAATCCATCGACAAAAAACCGGTGTGAATTTTCGGCCATTTTGAACTTTAACCGGCCGCCATTTTGAAACGGTTTGAGATATTGACTTCGGGTTTGCGCGAAAATTTTTCTTTTTTTATGCTCTTTCGAACGAGCTATCACAAAGGGGGTCTTCTCATTTGAAAATTAAAAGTTGGGGGCCGTTCCCCCCCCCTCCCCCCAGGGACGCCCCCTGAAAATTTTAGGGGTCCAAAAAGTAGCTCCCTTGGACCTAGGAATATCCCCCAAGTTTCAAATCTTTACCTCAATTAGGTAAAAAGTTAGAGGGGGTGGAAGGGACTTTACGATCACCCTGTAATTATTGTACGAGGGGCGTTCAATAAGTAACTATCCCCCCTCTCTAAAATCCATAAGAATGGACCAATTTTAAAAAACTTGGGCTCAAAATCTTCCTTAGGATATTTTGAGTTCAACGAAACAAACCGCAACAAAATCGGACCATGTGCGGCCGAACGCGAGCCGTTTGAACGCGCCGAGGTGCTCGACGCTCCCGCCGAATCCGCGAGGATTTGAAGTCCGCTACAGGAGAAGAGCTTCTCTGCCAAAGCCTTAGTCGTTCATCACTGACGAAAAATCAAAGAAATTTTTGTAGAATAAGGGGCTTACCTCACTTCTCCACATAACCAGCTCGATCCAAGCAAGTCTGATACTGAGACTAAGACTAAGAGAACAGCTTTTGGATGCCTCGTGCGTGGAAGTCTTTCAGCTCACCGCGGATGAAAGAGTGGACGGCTTGTTTGACCTCTTCCACTGATTCAAAATGAGTTACCCCGAGTTCAGATTATAGAAAGGGGAATAAATGGTGGTCTTTTTTGCCATTTATTACCGTATCTAGTATCTGAACGCGGGGGAGTTCATTTTGAATCAGTGGAAGAGGTCAAACAAGCCGTCCACTCTTTCATCCGCGGTCAGCTGAAAGACTTCCACGCACGAGGCATCCAAAAGCTGTTCTCTTAGTCTTAGTCTCAGTATCAGACTTGCTTGGATCGAGCTGGTTATGTGGAGAAGTGAGATAAGCCCCTTATTCTACAAAAATTTCTTTGATTTTTCGTCAGTGATGAACGACTAAGGCTTTGGCAGAGAAGCTCTTCTCCTGTAGCGGACTTCAAATCCTCGCGGATTCGGCGGGAGCGTCGAGCACCTCGGCGCGTTCAAACGGCTCGCGTTCGGCCGCACATGGTCCGATTTTGTTGCGGTTTGTTTCGTTGAACTCAAAATATCCTAAGGAAGATTTTGAGCCCAAGTTTTTTAAAATTGGTCCATTCTTATGGATTTTAGAGAGGGGGGATACTTACTTATTGAACGCCCCTCGTAGATGGCTTTGCTGTTTGTCCCCTTCTAAACTCAGCAGTTATAGTAAGATGATGGTATGAGAGTTGTTCTTTTGATCGTGGCCTTGAGAGGGGCCGTTAGATAGACATGCTGGCCAGCAGTGATGATGTTGCAGAGCCTGTGAGACTCATCCAAGGAGTAGATGATGAAAAAAAAATGCACTCTTTATGAAATAAACAATGTACAAGTTACCTTGAAACATGGATAAGAAGACAAACCACATCTCTAAAAGAGAATCGTCACTCATAAACTGCTGGGCAACTGGTTGATGAGATAATACGTTGTTTAAATCTGATACAAGGGGCCAATAACAATGGTCTTTCATCACTTGTTGACTACAATCTACCACAAAATGCATGTTTTTCTCTGCATCTGGATGATTTTGAAGAGGAGAAGACAATTAAACAGAAGCAAAAAAAAATTGGTAAAAATTGAATGGTCTTGTATAGGGTTTGAAAAATCTAAATTTAAAAAACCCATGAATGCAAAATTTCCTCAGGTAAAATACGAGTTCCGTTGGTGAAAAGATTCGAGCTTAGCTGTTTTCAGGCCAAATTTTGTCTTCTTTCAAAGTGATTCTTGTAATATTTGGCAGCATTTATTTATTTTAAAATATATTTGCTAAATACAAACTCAATGCTGAGCTATGACATTATTTTAGCATGATCTTTACACGTGCTTCCACTATGCTTCCCGTTGTTTCGGAAATTTTACTTTAGCCCGAGCTAAAAAAGAAGTCCTCTTTCAAAAAAAGACTTTGTGTCAGATCAGCCCTTAAAAAGATATCGGCGAGAAAAAAACACGCTACATCGACTCTTCCATAAGAGCACATGTTATACTGCGGTTGCCACTCATCCTTTACGATGACATTACAGCAACATAATTACAGTCTCCCGCTTCTTGTGCGCAATGATACAAATAAACCACAGTTAATTGGACTGCACTTTGCAATTGGGAGCCATAATTTCTGGCTCATCTGTAAAGCTACTTATGTGCATTGAAAAACTGATGATACAAGCATTGTTCCAAAACTGAGCCAAAAATTGTAGTTCCTAATGGCAAAATTAATTCCAATTAATGCCTTTTAAAAAGGAGTTCCACTGCATGAGAAGTACAATAGGAATGAATTCCACAGTGAATTCAATGATTCCACTGAACCTAAGGCTGAGCTGACAAATACTGCTCATCCCTCTGCTGCGACATTGCGTTGTATTGCTGATTTTTTTGAGTGGTTTACAATGACTCCTATGTGTTCCCAAACCCATCTCTACTCATCAACTTTTTACGCACTTCCAAATTCAGCTACTTCCTTGCAGTAATTGGAAACTCACAGGTTTCAGAATCAACAGTTATCCTTCCTCATGTGCATCTTATTGACAGTGAAGAATTGGGCATAGAACATTTCAAAGTGGAAATAACTTCAACAGGCATTATGCGTTTGACATCCTATTTCCAAAAAGTGGAAACATAAATATAAAAAGTCATACATTTATGTCTGCATAAAACATTTCCACTACACAGCCACTAAAGATGCAGCCAGCTGAATGGACAGAGAGGACTGATACCGTCAGTCCGAAAACAACCGGAATCCATCCAATTGCATTTCATGTCGCCTAATTCGTCACATGTAGTATTTTGTCAGCAGAAATCTAAATAACATCACGCCTTAAAACTTTCCTCGAAATCTCTGTTTATTATCCAAAATGGACTCACGAAATTTCAACACTGAATGTGACTTAATTTAAAATAAGAAGAGTAGATGAATTAAAAAATAGAATAAAAGAGGAAATTGGACGGGATCTTATGTAGTTCTGTTGATTCAGCTTGAATCTGATCAATATGGAGTGTAGGATAATAAAGTTCAAAACAGAAAAATGTACTACATAATTTTTTCCAAGTCAAACTACAAGTCTCCCTCTGTTGAAATGTTCTTTCATTAAAGACCATAGCCCATCACTTCAATTGGCGCTTCTTGAGACTACATTATTAGAATAAAAAAAATACATCACATAAGGTACACCTTTATATTGGAGCATTTCTAGTTCATCTGGCAGAATTAATCTTAGCCAAATTCAGAGGAGGGGTTTCTTGTTAATTTTCAAAGAATGCAGATTTTAGATTAAATTTGTTTCAACACATTGACTGCTGCGCCAGTCCATTTGAATGGTATTGATGTATTCCGCAGGGAGCCAACCAGTCTTCTAAAATAACCCACGCTTGCAAGGCCGATTTTTTTCATTCGCCTAAGCCTTGTGCAGTACACTATCTCTCAGCATTTAAGTTAACTAGCAGCACCACTAAATGCTCTACAGAGGGCGCTACAGTCGTTCTCCTCAAAGAATTGGTCAGAGCACACCCTTCGGATTTCTAAGGGGCGTTTTTTGTGTGTTTCTGTGCGCCCCCAGGAAGTAAGTGCTAAAACACAATCGCAGTTAAAAAGTTAATATGATCAGATTTGCTTTGAATAAAGAGGAAACAAATTAAAAAGAAAATAGCTTACTGTGTAATACGTTGGGAATGAGAATTTTTTGCATCATATACTTGAGACTTATAACCATGACATGCAACAAATATAAATTCTCAACCATGGTTGATGCTATTGTTTTGTTGGAGAATAACTGTACACTGACATGGACTACTCGATTAGATAAAGTATCTGGATCGGAGGAGCGTTCAAGCATCATTGAAATTCGACTATAGTGAAGAACGAAAGCATGAGTGAGCGATTCCTGGAAAAATTAAGTCAAATACAAGATGAAAAATAAGTGAGAACAAGAATTTCAAATTACTCTTGTGGACAGTTTTTCCATAAAAATAAAGTTCAGGCACTTGGCTGTGATCCGTAAGTTATTTTTCTTATTCTGTGTGAAATCCTACTAATTCATGTGCATTGGTGATATATGTAGGAGTCAAGAGTGCGCAAAATTCTACGATAAAGGAGGAGTCAGTTCAATCAATTTTTTTTAATTGCATCATTTAAAAGCAAAAAGTTATATAGAGGCAATATAACAAGCGCAAACTATTATTTTCCCTATTTTTGATGTTAGCAAAACTCGGTACAGCTGTAAAACAGGTTAAAATTATATTGAAAAACACATGCACTGTGCATATACAAGGGGCATTTGATAAGTTTCTGTACCCCCCTTACATGTTACACACCAAAAAAAAAAAAAAAAAAATTATTAAGGTATACAGCCCTCAGAGGGTGATCATATCACATCCTCTATGTTTCTCACATTTGGCTCAATCGGATTACTATTCATTACCGGATGTAAAATCTGAGCTTGGTGGTGTGCATTTCCTAACTTTGAAAGATGTGAAACAAACTGTGCACAAATTGGTCTCAACCCAGTTAAGAATTTCTTTGCATGCAGGATCAAGGTTTGTTACACACAACCAAAAGTGCTTGGATCTAAAGGAAGACTATGTTTACGAGTAAAGTGCCTCAAATTATCAACATTGTGTTTCATTCATGTTCCTCAGCACTCATTTTTGGTCAATTTGTGATGAGCAAAATATAGTAGAAAGAGCGGTAAAAAATTATACTGCTCATTTATACAAAATTATACAGGCAAGGGACATTTTTCTCAGGACATGCAGACATACGTCACATTGAGATCTGAGGATCTGAACTGCAATTTTCAACACAGCTAGGCAGAGTGCGCTCCAATTTATATGCATGACAACTGGTCTTTGATGTGGGGCATGAGCACACGGGCGCTAAACTGGTATTAAGATGTTTAACTCTGCAGTCAAATTTTTACTTGAAGTCATGTGTATTACTTACTCATTGAAGTAACATTTTATTCGTTTTTGACTGATTTTTTCACTCAGGCAATCAGTGTTCCACAAGTAGAAAGTAACAGAATCACAATGCATACCTTATATTCCTGATCAGGGAGCATGTTCAAGAGCAAGCAGACAATTTTTTGAGGGAACTCAAACTTGACTGTCCAAAAAACTAATTCCTCTAAAAATGTAGAGTGACTCAGATTTTCTTGCAAACCAGGAATATCTAAAAAATAAATTAAGACATCCGTAAACAGCAGTACTGATCTTGTATACCAGTAATGCAAATAATTCATTACCCAAAGAATAAGAAGTTCCATTCACAAATTTGCAACAAGAGCAGTAAGTATGAGTTCTCAAAGGATACACTTCACTTGATCACAAGAGAAATGTACTGTTACTTCGGGCAGTTTCTGATAATATTTATTACCGATTTTGATGTTATTTACAGCTGATTGTAAGCCTTAGAAAAATCAGATTTCAAGGAGGAAATTTCAAACGGGGGTTTTACCAAAGTGAAGTGTCATGGGGGGGGGGGGGGGGAGAGGAAGGGGTTGTCAGCAGGTCTTCATATGACTAAGGTATCCCAGCAGGGATATTGTTTGTTGCCGACATTATTTAAAGCATATTTTAAGTACGTCCCAAACGAGAGGAAGAAAAACAATTACTGTTAGATGTACCCTTGGATGATTTTGAAACTCTATTCACTCAATGCTTTGCTGGTGATGATCGCAAAAGTCCATGAGGCACAAGTTGACGGTAACAAAAGAGTGGTTTGGAGGTCATTCTATCCAAAATGGCAAAGCTGACTTCAGGGAAAAAAGTCCCAGACTTTGCCAAGTTTACTTTACATTATTACATGTAATTTAAAGCAAATATCTGAAGAAATGACCCGGTTCTTACCGGAATTTGAAGAAGGACAGAGGTGAGCATGTTTTCTTTACAATACTAGACACTGTTACCTGCCAGCATAATTCAACACGTGTGTTAAATCACAATTCTTTGATACCAACAATTTTGAGTTCATGGTACACTGTTGTCACAACTTTGACAATTGCAAATACTCAAACTTATTAAACAGGACTGCAGGCAGAATAAATGCAAAGTCAATACCCTGGGAAGAAACTGAGCTGAAATGGGGGTGACATGTCTATTGAGTCGATTTTTGGTCACCTAATCCTTTAATCGCTCGATGAATCAAGGTAAAAATCAAAGTAGAGTAATTAATTGAATGAAAAATGACCGCTCCTGCGATTAATTCGTTCTGACACTGTTTATATCCTAAAAAATGGTGAAAGACTGGGACAGAGATCAGATTTTCTGCCGTATTTTGCTTCCGCCAAGAAATGAAGAATGTTTAGCGATGTCTAAGTGAGTGTTTTAAGCTCACAGAACCACCCTGCTTTAAAAAAAAACCGTCAACTAAAAAGCCTTTGTAAAATACAGGGTGATTCAAAAGTCCCTTCCACCCCCTCTAACTTTTTACCTAATTGAGGTAAAGATTTAAAACTTGGGGAATGTTCTTAGGTCAAAAGGAGTTACTTTTTCAGCCCCCCTAAAATATTAAGGGGGCCCCCTTGAGGAGGCAACGGACCCCAACTTCTTTTTTTTCCAATGGGAAGACCCCCTTTGCGATACCTTGTTCAGAAAAGCATAAAAAAAGAAAACTTTTCGCGCAAACCCGAAATCAGTACCTCAAACCTTTTCAAAATGGCGGCCGGTTAAAGTTCAAAATAGCCGAAAATTAGCACCTAGGTTTTTTGTCGATGGATTTGCGCAAAAATCTGTATCAGGTGGTATTTGGACACAAGAAAAGCGAATTTAATGCTAGACTGTTAAGAAAACGAAAATTTCCAAAATGGCCGAAAATGATTTTTTCTTAGGAAATCTAATTTCAAATGTGTTAATCTCATGCCAAAGTACCTCTAAGTCCCAAGTTTCAGCAAATCCATCAGCAAAAAACTGAGTTGGCAATTTCTGAACTTGAACCGGCGGCCATATTGAAACGGTTTGAGATACTGACTTCGGGTTTGAGCGAAAAGTTTTATTTATGTATACCCTTTCGAACGAGGTATCACAAAGGAAGTCTTCCCATTTGAAAAAAAAGTTGGGGTCCGTTGTCCCCTCAAAGGAGCCCCCCTGAAAATTTAAGGGGGGCTAAAAAGTAGCTCCCTCTGACCTAAGAACATCCCCTAAGTTTCAAATATTTACCTCAATTAGGAAAAAAGTTAGAGGGGGTGGAAGGGACCTTTGGATCATCCTGTAGAAGACTGAAAAGTCAAAGGTACAGAAAAATTAACATTTCCCATTTGTGAAAATAAAAATCATTGTTCTCTTCAAAAACGAAAGGAAAGTTCAAAAAGCACATTAAAAATAAAAAAGGGTTCAGTAAATAAAAGAAGCATGAAGCATTCATAGAAAAAATGTCCAGCCTCTTTCAAAAAATTCCCCAACTTCTTCCTGATTCTCCTGACCTCATGAAATTCCCTGAAAATTCCTGGGTTTCCAGACATGTAGATACCCTGAATTAGATCCTACTTACATTTGTATTCGGGCGGAGGAGGGGGATTTGGTAGGGTTTTCAGTGCTTCTTCATACGTATTTTGACTGTCTACAAGATAAGATGCATATTCACTCTCGTCTGAAGGCAGTAACTCTGTTAGGTTCTTGTAAATCTGTGGGAAAACAAAATACAAAATCTTCAGAGGTTAGTAGAGAGACTTAGAGTATAACTACATACATATGTATAAAAACATAGGGGGAGAGAGAGAGAGAGAGAGGGGGGGAGAGAGAGGGAGAGAGAGAGAGGGAGAGAGAGAGGGAGAGAGGGGGAGAGAGAGAGAGACATTTCAGTGATTTTTGTAAAGAGCTTGATGCAACAACGACTTTGTTTCCCCCCTCTGAAATTTCTTAAAACTTTGTCTACTGATTACTCATACTTGAGCGCTTCTTTCCTCAAATTTTCAGACCCCAAAAATTTTGAGTGGCCGGTCGGCGCTCAGTGGGTTTCTAAAGTAGCGCTAAGGAGGTGTAAAATTAAAAAGGAGAATTTTTTTTGAAGTATCTGTAATTTCTAAACTCAACGACCCCCAAGAATCCTTGAAAACTTATTTAGCATGGTTCGAATATTCAATCTGTTTTAATAACACCCAAATCCGGCTTTGGAACCATAGTTTACAAGCAAAAATCGGTCGGCGCGTGTAGAGCGGAAACTTCAATCGTCCATTACTCTCTGACCCTTTGGTTCCCTTTCTTAATGGACCACTCGTTGGATGCGGAAAAAGACGAATAATTTTAAAAAACTAGTTTTGGTTCAGATGAAAAATTGAGATCTTGGTGTATCCTTTGTTTAAAAGAAATTTACTAGACTCAAAACCTGAAAAAAAGCACATATATTAATAATGTGATTTCGAGATTTTGAACTAAAGAGTCTTAAAGATACGATTTTAGACGATTTTTCGTCCAAACTGGACCTCGATATCTTTCTTCATTGGAAAGATATCGAGGTTCACAGGTTTTGACTCCCCCCCCCCCCCCCCCCCCCCCAAAATTTGTTGAGGGTCTGAAAATCTGGGAAAAGAAGCGCTGAAGTGTGAGTAATCAATAGCCAAAGTTTGAAGAAATTCCAGAAGGGGGGGGGCGCGCAAAGCCACGCAAAAAGCCGTTTTTGCATCAAACTCTTTTCCTGATGATAAATGGACTCGGTTGCCTGTAACTCTTGAGTGCAAGATATCAATTAAAGCAAAAAGTAATTTCTTTATTTAAGTTGTGCTGTACCTCAGTAATGGGGACCTATCAGTATACCTTGGAAGAATAAAAATAAATTGATGGATAAGGAAGGAAGAGATTAGAGTGCGGCTGATTTCTGTCTTTTTTGTAAGTAGTCAGTCAACTGAGAAATTATTTTTATTGTTCAAAACAAAATTGATGGCTAAGGAACAACACCGCCTATATACAAACTAACAATTTTACATGAAAAGGAAAAAACTTCGCCTTCTGTAATTTTGAGGTTATTTTTGTTATTTTCTTACATAAATTACTATGTCATTACAGCACTCCCATGCGGAACTGAAAAAAAAAAAACTAAAAACATCAGCTTGCATATTGTATATTTTATGCGACAAAGTCCCTAACTGCCGCCATAATTGCCAGTTTGGCAGTATTGTTCCGTAGCCCTCGAAATAAGTCTTATGAAATTTGAGCTCATTTGCAGCGTTTTAATGTTAAGAGCAGAGCCACCTATTTTCAGAAAAAAAATACATTGGTTTGAATGGGCGATGATGTACTAGATGTTTCAGAGCACCCATTACCCATATCTTTTTCTCTAAAACGGCCGAAAATTGAGCAAAGGGACAAAAACTTGCTGGGGTGAATCAAACCTGCAATTTCGAATGAAAACATTTAACCCTAACCCCCCAAAACCCCATCCTGGGGCGGGGGGGGGGGGGAAACTTTAATTGGATTATCCCCTGTTTCTCGCATATTTCAAATGGGAAGGGTGTGTTTTGACTTCTGATTCAAAGTTTATGGCCAAAAATAAGAACTTATGGTTTTAAGCACTTTTTCCTTAAATTCCAATTTTCAGTAGTTACGAGGACTTTTGCAGCATTTTTGGGGAAAATTTTCAATAGACACTGTAGACGTTATAATTATCCGATTTTCAAAATCTAAAAGTTTCCTGGGAAAAAATCTCGATACTTCTTTATTGAAGTGCCACACGACCCCTATTGATCCAATATTATAGGGGCCCGCGACACTCCAAAAATTTTTGTGCTTTGGAGGGCCGTAAGTCAAAAATTTCAAACAGCAAGGGTACATTCCTACTTCAGATTTGGATTTTACGCGAAAAGTTACGTAAAATTGCTATGGCATACGGCCTATTTGCCCCAAATTACCATAGGGCCCCATTTCCTCATAAGGAGCCGCGTATTTTTGGAGGAAAACAGAGGCAAACAAAGGGGCAAATAGGCCATATGCCATACCAAATCTACGTAAATTCTTGGGTAGAACCCAAATCTGAAGTAAAAGCAGACCCTTACCATTTGAAAGGGGATTATTCAACATAGGCTATTTGGCCCCCTCATAGATTTTTTCCAGAGTTGCATACATTGTTCCCTATTACAAAACACGCCTTTTCCGGCAACGGCAAGTTCACCAAAACATTTTCCGGCGCGCTACAGCGTTGCCAAGTTGAAAACGTGACAATTCCGTAAAGGGCATTAAAATTAAGCTATGAAGTCGCGGTTTCGACGAAAATTCTCTAAAAATTGCGCACTTTATAGAAATGTCACTGTCTTTAATGGCAATTTGAACATACATTGTTGCCAATTTTTCCATTTTTAAATTCATCAACTTTTACAATGAGTCAGTTAAGTCATTTTTTTAGTAGTAAGTAAGTGACCGAAGCTTAAATTTTTTTCCGAATTTTTTTTGATGACTGCAAACAGAAGGACAATTTATTTGAAAATGCCAAAAATTAGGGAGGCCTATAACGGAAATTTTTGTTCGCGAGATATGGTCGTTTTAGTAACGACTTTTTGGAGCGACAACGCTTGTTGAGTACAGGCAGATAGAAATTTTAGCCTTTAAAGACACCAGGTGACATTAATTCTAAGGTTTCCTGTGTGATGCTTGACGCTGAATTCGAATTCCAAATATTTTTCACAAAATTGGTGCCCCAAAGTTGCCAAAATCGGCAAAAATGACTTAAAATCGACCTTTTCTGCGGATTATAGTCTGTGACTTGCCAAGTGTTGATCTGACAACAAAATCGGTTATTTTCCAAGGTAAAGCTCGTTAAATTTTCTATTAAGTGAATTCAATACTTTGTACTCATAGCAAAATTTAACACCTTGACAAGCGGCAAATGGAAAAAAGCACCGAAATCAGCGCTTTTTAGCAAAGGCTTCCTGTTCACTGACTTGATGAAAATTGCTCATGAAAATCTCAATGACACAGTGAAACGAATAATTATTAAATTGTTACATACATAGATAAAAACCGCTTTTGCAGCGCTTGCTAGCCATCTGCGATGCCTAACCGCCTCAGTACCTTGTCCTTCCTTAGCTACTCAGGGGTTGGGGACTCCCTCAATCCATTATAAACCCCCTCCTGCCCATTCCTGAACATCTTCTTCACGTGAGCATTATTACTTCTCTTGATTGAAAGTCAAGAGACCTAGCAAATTTTGCGTCAACTTAATGATTATGTGCAAATTTTTATATTCAAACTCCCTAGTTTTGAGATGTTTTTTAATTCAAATATGTGAGATTCGCCAAGAATTGTCTACCCCTTGTTTGAGAAAACTCAATTTGAAGAATCTACAACTGCTCCATTTATCCCGATTTTCCCTTCAATTTCACAGAATATACTGTTAGCATGCAAACATTTTTTGTTTTAAGCATACCTGAGGATTTGTAAGAGCACCTATTAGAACACGTCGCATTGGGGCTCCCATTCTGCTTAGGTCGTGCAACATAGTTAAAAAGTCATCGTGGTCTTGAATCAAATGAGCATCGAAGGTGTTCAATTTGCTGAAAATAAACAAGAATGATAGTAGATAATTTAAACAGAAGGAAAATTTCTGTTTCCTTGCATACTGAAAATGTCCCAAAACACAGAGTATAGGCACGCATGCAGAGTTTGAAGTATTTAAATCAAAAGGAACTAGGTTCATCATGATAAAGGCCCTGTCATGCATACATTTTCATGGGTGTCAGGGCCCATGTCATAATGGAATAAGTTCCTTTTAAGTTAATTCATGGTTGAATTAATTTTAATATCTTCAAATTCCCTGACAATTCCTGACCTAGGGACAAAATTTCCACTTTTCTTTTTGTTTTATTTAAAAATACACTGGCTTTTGCCAAAAACTTTGGACAAAGTTTCCTTCTTGAGAGATTAAATTATAGAAAGAGGCATTCCGTAGCCGGTTAAAAGATGATAAGCCTTCAAATTGATCAGAAAGGATAAACAGTTGGGAGATCGGTGATATTTATGCTTTTAGTAATTCTCTTGTCTCTATTCAAACAGGGGATTGACTGAAATTCCAATATTACATCAGGTGCCAAAAGAGCAATGAAAGTTTTTCCACCTTTATTAACAAAATTTAACTTGCTAACGAACAGTTGAAATTGAGGCACTCAATGCTAAGTGATTTTAAATAATTCTCCGTTATTCTCCTCTGAAGAACAAACCAGGTTCGATTTTGCTTGGGAAACATTAAGTACCAGGGAATCAAAGAAATTACAAACCTTTTTTCCCTTAAATGTTGTATAAGACGTAGAATTATTCTAGGCATAACTGCTTCAGCAACACACATTAAATCCGGAGGGGCACTTAAACTATCGACAGACTGCCTGTTTACTTGTGCTTGCAAGCCATGCCTTTCACAAAACCTGTAGAAAAGAATGCAAAACTTACAAATTACTCAAGTTTATTTTCAATGGTAATGACACTATATGAATAAACATAATAGAGATGATAAATTACGGTCTAGTTCATCTAGCATTCTTCGAGAACACCTCTAAAACCATCAAACAGTTGGTTTTTGTTTGTTTTTTTTTTTTTGGGGGGGGGGGGGGTAAAAATACCAGGATAAAATTGAAAGTGATTAAAGATTTTGGAGATGATGTGATCGGTGTGAGAAAAGGGATAGGGAGACATTGAACTGCGGTCACATTTCCTCATTATATATGAAGGCATTTTGATGGACCTTTCTTTCTCTTGAAAGCTTTCCTGGGAAATTTTCTGAAACAGGAGCGAAGTTTTTTTTTTTTGATGATGAGGGGAAAAATTCGCTACAGTGCCCCCATCATGAGGGTCGCCAAAACGCCCCCCATGAAAGGGGCCCACCGAATACCGGGACGGCAACGGCTATCAGCTGGTGAAGAGCTGCCAAAGCGACCCCTAACCGACCCGACCGCTGTGAGATGGAAAAAAGGAGCGACATATTACGAAGCATTTTTGGGAGGAGGAAAGTTCCCGCTCCAATCTGTAGGAAGAACACCTGACAAAATAACATAATTTAAACACAATTAGAGAGAAAAAAATACTTGAACAACTTGAATGTTCCATCAGCTAGTGTAAGAAGAAATACATTTTTAAAACTTTACCCAGAGACTTGCATGACAGATGCATCACCACAATCACATGCACCACCAGCTTGGCTTCTGAACATATTGAAGTCATGGCCATCATGATCACCTTTCTGGAAACAATCTGCACAAAGTGACATGCAGGGTGATATCCCGCAAGTTCGACATCTGTACGCCACAAAATTTGCTGTCCAGACTAGGCCACATTTTGTGGCATGATCGTAGCGCCTTACTGAAACACAATTTAACAGGAGAGAAGGTAAGTATGAAAGGTGGCCTCTGAAAGCAAACATTTGTAAAACAGATAGAATTCTGGAGAGTATGATAGTGTGATGATGCCTCACTGTGTGCTGATACTTGAAGTTTCCTGGTAACTAAAATCAAAGGCATAATTGTATATTTCAAAGTATTTCTTTGAAGGTAAAATTTGCAAACAAAAAACATCATTCGACTAAATTTGAAGTTGCATGTTAACAGGCCAATCTTGAGGAGTTGACAATTTTTGACATCTCCTGACAAGGGGAAATCGAGTCTGAGCTTGCATTACGGGTGCACTCTGGACCGGGTGTGTGTGTGTGTGTGTGAGGGAGGGTGAGGGTGTGTGTGTGTGTGTGTGTGAGGGTGTGTGTGTGTGTGTATGAGCGTGTGAGGGTGTGTGAGGGTGAGGGTGTGTGTGTGTGTGTGTGTGTTGGAGTTTAGGGCTACAGGTGACGGTAGAATGGGTGAATGATGCCGATTGTTCGAAAATCTACTATGAAAAACAATCTTAGCTGGAAATTATTTTCCATCCAAAATTCAACCCAAAGGGTGAAACAAAGAGGAAGGGGGGGGGGGGTCCAACAAAGCGCTGTGTTACTTTTTAAAGCAGTGCAGACCTGTGACCAGTGTTATGGGCGCATTGTAAAACTTTATGAAACCACAGCAGTAAGAGCACGGATCTACTGATTCAACTTCCTAAAAGATCCATGTAATATTTTCGGATACCATTTGCATGCTAGAGCTACAATTGGACCATGTTAATTACGACAAAGAACTTGTATTTCTGGCTCATCCATAAAAGAACGTATCTACAAAGGAAAACGAATGGCACGGCACATATGCTGTCTCTAAAAAAAAACTGAAATTGTAATTCTTGAGTTCCAGTTTCACTTGGAGTACTGGGTCACAGTTGGATTACATTTTGCAGTATGAAGTACCATTTTCGACTCAGTTTACTAGTTCTTCTGAGCAGTTAGATTCTTTTACAGATGAGCCCGAGGAATCACGGTTTTCATGGCAAAACAAAGTCCAATTTTGTTTCGGAATGGTTCCAATGGATTTGCATCATTGCAGAGAACAAAAAGAGAAAAAAGTATCCATTTTTCAGCTAAGGCTTTCTGAATGTGTGAAAACTCAAAGATGTTCATGAATTTATGTACAGAAAGAGCTTTCATCTAGAAATGACAATACGACAATCTCCTTTCCTCATAGATCTGCAGTTGAGTAGAAAATATCCGAGTAGTTGAGGTGACTTGCTTAAAGAATTGTTGTGTTTGAACTTCTAACAACTGACAGTTAGGCACTATTCTTACTATTTGCATACCAATTTAGGATAAGGAAACAATCATGAGCGTGTTAGTAAGAAATCCTTTAAAAGTGGACACCCACCCAGAGGATTGAGAGCACTCAAGTACACAAAACTAAATAATAGGGCCTAGGTGTGCACAAATAAAAGGTGAGGTTTGAAATAAATGAAGATTTATCTGTTCATGTCTGGGTCTATAATTAGATGTCATGTAAAGATCACAGTAAATCATGACATCTTGGCACACTTGCCGAGGAGGAGTCACCGTAAAAAGAAGAGAACAGAAGCTATCTGCTACATTGATCGGCTGTGATCATGTTCATGTGTTAGGAGTCATCTGCCGTTTAGAATTCTCTATTGCTATTCCTATGCACTTATTTAAGAACATTTGGGAGTTACAACAGTTATGGAGAAGCTAAATTATCAAGGGGCAGGAGCCACCTTTACTTGGTGTGTCTGTGCAATGTGCAGCCAATGTTTTTAAGAGGGAATAATTCTCATCACCAACAAATTTATGTAAGAAACTGAACCATAATAAATAGCACCATTAATACTGAGTAATATGAGAACAAATTTGTGCAGATTTATTGCATCAGACATTGCTCATTGACTGAAAGTGTAAGAGAGAGTGTTATGGTGTCCCTATCCATCTCTTACCCATTTAGTAAACAAGTAACATCCGTTTCCCTAATCTTACATAAAAATGGCCAAACAATCTTCACAAACTTACTCTCATTATACTCTGTATTACTAAATGCTGTTTTACGTTAGGGTTCAGTATTTTTCTAAAATTATAAGTTTGTGATGCATATTTTCTCTCAAGATACTGATCAGGTAGCAGTACATCATGGTGGTGCTTCTTGCCACTCAGTTATTTATATTCACCTGAAGAATTAGGAGCGTTTGAGTCGTAAGTCACGGAAAACATTTTTCAATAATTGATGAATGAAGTGGAAGAGAACATACAGATAGTATAGTAATGGTTCGTAATGAATCTAACATCTTATCTTATACGTACTGCGCACATACGTTGACTAGCTTGTGGAACATTTTCCAATTTTTTTCCAATCTTCATTTTTCACATGCCTACTACGAACAGCCTCTATCTTGTCGTCTTCCCAGAGATAAGGCCAATAATTGCTCTTCTTCCATTTTCTTGCTTATAAAGTTAGATGTTTCGCATTATCTTTGGATGATTCTTCAGCACTTGGAAGTACCATTCGAAAGCCCGTCAATCAATTGATAATTTCTAGATTTTACTTGGGTCATTCCCTGAGAATTTCTGAGCATCACACCTCCCGGTAGTATATCAGGTGTTTGAACACAAAATTTGACAAAGAAACAATTTGAAATCATTCCGAAAGTATGTCCAGAGTGAATATTGCAAATGAAAGGCAAAATAATTTAAACTATTCACTCGGAACATAATTTTAAAGCTGATTCAAAATGTTTCCTGGTGAAATTTTTTATACTGATTTCTGATGTAGGTACTACGGTATCATGTGATGCTCAGAAATTCTACAGGTAGGTATGTTTTAAAATCAAGAAACTATCGATTGATTGACCAGCTATCGAATCCAAAGTGTTGCGGATCCACCTTTAAACTACAAAGAGCAAAAACAAAGGCAGGGATGCAAAAAGTTCATCAATGTACGTTTTCACCAGCAAAGCGCAAATTTTCCCTGCGCACTATTAAGTACACAGCGTAATTGAAGTAATTTTATCAAAAATCAATGTGGTTGAAGGAAATCTGACAAAAAATCAACACTGTCTTTGGAATTTTAACAAAAAATCAATGCGGCTACCACTGGAGTGTACACTGTGTTTTGCAGTGTACACCGTTCACCAGCGAGAAACATCTCACCAGATCGTGAGCATTCCGCACCCCTGAATGAAGGTTATCACTCTCTGAGAAGGTGGTCAGAATTGAAGAGACTTGAAAAATTTCTAACCCTTGCTTTCAAAACGCCTGTTTATTTCGGTTGACTATCCTATTTAATGAACTTAAGGGACACAACATTTTCGGATTTTTCAAGCATTTTGAGCGTGAGTATGTTTCATCAATACTTAGTTTTTACAAATTTTAAGTTCTGCCAACAGGAAGCAAGAATCCAATCTAACATTTTTATGGAGCACAAAAATTCATACATACATCTGCATGTTAGCTTAGGGTATAAGTAAGCATCTAAAGTGGGGCTCACCCTTATCCATCCGCTAGTTTGTCAGAAATAGTGCTGCTAAGGATTTGGCTTGTAGGTGGCTATAAAGTACGATGGGTTAGAGGAGGGGGAGCATCCCTGGCAAGAATCAAAGGAACTACTTGAAGGGACGCCACAAGTCAAATGTGATAAAAATAAAATTTTCTGCTACTCACATGCAGTGATATTTATACTAACACGAACGTTCATGTATTCACTTCGTTTAAGAAAAATATCATCGCAAAAGAGAATCAGAAAATTTTTATTTTTTATTAAGAATGGAAGGGCTGTCTTCTTATCCGAATCACAAAGGACACATATGAACCGTGTCACTTTTCTATCACAGTCTACTGTCGCAGTCTAGCCCATTCCATGCATTAGACCACTTTTCTGAGATGGTCAAGCAGTTACATGCAATTCTAACTTCAAGCAAAACCGCTTTTAACTGCAGGTAACCTGATCCATCACATTCTATTAAGAGAAAAAAGAGGTCCTCAAAACAAACTATTCATAGCCACCAGGCCGTTGGTTTCTAAGCTATCATGCAAGTTCCCAGGATGACAGGGAGTCTTACTTCTTTTGGAATTGACTTCAACAGTTCCGATTGTAACAGTCATTTCTTAGTGCTCACATGCGGTAGTAGGTAATTCGAAAGTTGCCACCCCACCACTAGTAACTTCATCGTTCCAGGTGCTTCAAGCCAGCTTAGAAGATGTAATGGGCTAAGGAGGCAACGAAACCATCTTTGTCACCTGGGTTTAAGCCCTTGCATACATCACACAGGCGCACAATGCTAGAGCAGCTGTACTTCTCTTCTGTACTTTTGGGTACAAATACTCCGTCTAAGTGTGATGGCATTGATTTTGAAAGATGGATGATAAGGGGCCTTCAGTTCATCGATCTTGCTTCTAAATGTCAGTTCCAAAAAGATATTATGACAGAATCACACATATGTGTAAGGCTGACAGTAATTAGGAACAAAGTAATCTATGGTAAATATAACATGAAACTGGCACATTCCCAACTATTAGTGAGAGTTCTACTCTCGGATGCTCTAACCTATCGCACTCGGTGACGCAAGCTTATCAAAACCAATTTACAAGGTGCAAGGTGCCATCATGCTGTAATTGATAAGGTGAATGGCTGCAATGAGGCAAATACACAAGGAGAGGAGCGACTTACCTAGATTAGAGAATTCGTCAGGGGTTTTTCCTCCAGCCATGAGCCATTTTAACCAGTCAATGGTCTCCCATTCATTGATAGATTTTCTTGGATTTAGAAGAATATCAAGGACTTCGTTCAGTAGGCGATTGGATCCTTTAATGGCACAATCTGAGTGGACATACGCTGCTGCACCTCTTTTCCCTTTCTTCATTAACACATGTGCAGCAGGAGAAGGATTTTCCATCGCGAGAAAATTTGATTTCTGTGGCCTCCACCACAACTTCATGCACTTGAAATCACCTCAGTAGCGGAAACCAGGTTGATATAAGTCACCACCTTTGACCACTTGCCACATACATACGAAACATTTTCACTGCGATTCCCACATAGTAAGCACATTAAAATTACAAAATTTGATGGCATTAATAAGTAAAATATAGCACATTCCCACAACACAATCCGTACCATTTCTTCACTAACCCTCTGCCTCTGCCTCCAGCCTCCACCTCTAACCAAAAATAGTTCTGTTGTACTTGTATTCGCTATTCGCTAGACTTGTTGTGTAGTGTAGTGCCTACGTCATGACCAGCATTGCCTTATTCGACCAAGCGCTGTCATGTAATCCACAAAAGCCCTAGAGTACCTATAGAAAGAGAGTATGGCCACATGAGTTACCACCTCTGATTGGCTCAGCCATCTTAGGCTGAATGGAGCCCTCAGGACCCAAAAATGGCGGACGCCATAAGTTAATGTAATGCAAAATGACTCAAAATGTAGTTTTCTTTGCTTAGCGTAACGAGAAATTTACCAAAATGCACTATTGCGACCTCGTTACATATTTTTAAGGCTAATCGTGTGCAATTTTCGAGAAAAATTATCTTGGATGTAGTAAGGTTGGCAGCGAGTGCGGTTGGTGATATCCGTCAAAAGTTGGCAATGACCCCCCTCTCATCCACAAAAACCAAAACAAAGCACCGCCATTTTTGGGTCCTAAGCCTCTCCATGGGACATGGGACCCAGTGGCCATCTGAGTTCGCCCTTGAAATTTCAAGCGTATTTTTCACTGAAATTTCAAAAGGCTTTTTATTTTTCAATTTTTTTGAAAAATTGAATTTTTGATACCAAAAATACACAAAATAAGACTTGCACATGAATTAGTGTAAGTTGAACCTCTCTGGGGAAATTTGGATAAATATTAAGTCGTGTGAAGTGTATTTTGGTGTTGTTAGGTTGCTCCGCCATAATCCTTGCGCCACTTCCGCTCCCCTCACAAAGACATAAAGACGGAGCACTAAAAGCAAAAAATGAAGCTTCTAGAGCTTCTTTT